TTTTTTTTTTAAAATTTTTTTTTTTTTGGGGGAAAATTTGGGAAAAAAAAAAAAAAATTTTTTTTTTTTTTAAAAAAAAAAAACCCAAAACCAAATTTTTTTAAAAAAAAAAAAAAAAAAAAGGGAAATATTTTTTTCCCCCCCAAAAATTTTTTTTAAATTTTTTAAAACCTAAAAAAAACACAAAAAAAATTTTTCCCAAAAAAAAAAAAATTTTTTTTTCCAAAAATTTTTTTTTTGGGGGGGGGCCCTATTTTTTAAAAATTTTAAAATTTATTTGTTTTTTTTTTTTTTTAAAAAACAACTTTTAAAACCCCCAAAAAAAAAGGGGTTTTTTTTTTTTTAAAAATTAAAAAAAAAAATTTTTTTTAAAAAGGATTTTTTTTTTAAAATTTTTTTTTTTTTTTTTTCAAAATTAAAAAGATTGATGAAACATCATTCCGTATCAACGCCGCTGTTCAGGTCTGCTTTGAACATTCTAAGCCATGTATATTTGATGCCGACGTATTAAAAGACGCCGTGGTACCAAATGTGTTCTGCTCACATGGAACAGGATTTCAGATACCAGGTCAGTTGGTACTTATTGAAATATAAACTTTCATAGCAACTAGTAACTGTGATTGTATCTTCAGATATATAACATACTTGCATCCTTTCGGAATAACAAATATTCGGTTAATTAAATATGTACATGCGTTATTGCTGTATAATCGTTTTTCCTTATGTAGAATATATTGAACTTTTTTTCTTCTTTTACATTCATGGAGATCGGAATAGTTGAGTAACATATTTGTTTATCATTTTTAGGATTTTCCTTCGAAACTTGGCTAAAGGACAACGGAATCCATTCTGTCAGTAATATTGGGGGCAGTCTAACAAAAATTGTTCATGCCCTTTCGATCTCAATAAATATTTGGGGCTCAACAATGTGACATCAGCGAATTTTGGAAAATTTAATGGCCTAAAGGTAAGTATTTTGGGAATTTTTTCATAAAGCAAAAAAACCCCAAAAGAATGATGTAAAACGGGAATTTTAAAAATTTTTTTTTGTTTAATAATTAAAAACGGATAAGTATTGAGCTTTATGAAAACCAGTGTAATGGGTTTTTTCTGCAAAAAACATTAGCTTTTTGGGATGACATTTTTGGGTTTTCGTTGTTCCCGGAAAAAGGATCTATCTTTAAATTTCGCATATTATAGGTTTTTGGCCCTTTTTAAAAATTTATCATTTTGTTGCAAATGTTTAAATTTTTTTTTCTGTATTAAAAAGTACCCCAAAACTGGGGTAGAAATGAAAAAAAAAAAAAATATTTGTTTATTTTAGGAGGTTGTGGTTTTTAAAAAAAAAATTTTCCCCAAAAGCATGACGGGGTTTTTATGTTAATAAAATTTATTTTAAAAGCCTCGGTGTAGCCTGCTTGGGATGCATTTTAGATATCCTTTAAACGGTCCCTTTTTAAATGGGGAAATTTGAAAATAGATGTTTGCAGAAAACGCTCTTGATTTCCCCCAAAAAATTTAAACGTACAAGTCAACAGTTTTGTTTGGATACATAGAGTTTTGGGGTTTGGGGGAAAAATTTGAACTTGGGGAAGGTCTTTTAAAATAAGGGAGTTTTTGTTTTTTAAAAAAAGAATAATAAGATTTCAATTTTTTAAAATAATTTATTTGAAAAAAGTGAGTCCATTTGGGCCCAAAAAACAATATTCAAAATTTTTAAAAAATTTTTAATGAAATTTTACTTAAAAAGGGCCCCATGTAAAGAAACAAACGATTTCAATCTTTTTCCCGATATCGAAAGTTTAAAAATGTTCGAAGGGAAGGGGTTTACTAATAATTTTTTTGGGTTAAACGTTAAAAAAGTGCCTTTCTGATGGAAAACCCTTTCATCTTTGGGCATACCCAAATTTTTTTTGCGCCCGGGAGGGTTCCCTCAGCCCCCTTTGTCAAAAAGAATTTGGGTTCAATATGAAAAGTAAGAAAATTAAAAAAAACCCCTTTTAGTTTAAAATTAATTCAGTTTAAAAGTGTTGTTCCTTTGTTTTCGAACAAGTTTAATATTTTTTTTAAATTTTTAACAACTTCAGACATCAAACTAAATAGGGTCAATGGGTTTCCCCGGTTTGCAGGAAAAATTTTTAAGATATATAATTTAATTATTTTTTTCCATTTGTTTAAGTTTTTCCTCTCTGAAAGGCTTGAAGATAAAGGTTCCCCGCGGTTCAAAAATTGTTGTACCAAAAGAATGGGAAAGAATCTACTTAAAAAATTTAGGAGGGTTTCAAAATACACAATTCGTGAAAAGTTGCTCTGTTTTTATCACCTGCATGGAAAAAACTGGGATGAAATAACTTAAAAAGAATGGAATGAAAACTTTAAAATTTATCAAATACTGCTACGGGGTTTTTAAAAATTTCTTAAAAAAGGTTTGTGAAATTTTTTTAAAGGGTTTAAAAAGCTTAATTTAAATTTAAATTTTTTTGATAATTTTCCCTTTTTTGTATCAGTTTTAAATTTTTTGAAACAATAAAAAAAGGGGGAAGGTGAATTTTTGCTTTTAAAAATAAAAATTTAAAAAACATTAAGTTTATTTTAAAAACCCAAAATTTTCTTGAAAGAAAATTCCCGTTTTCCTTTTTTAATTTAACCGTAAAATATAAAGGGAAAACTTAACACTTTTCCAAATATTGGTTTAAAAATAAACATAACAAAAACGTAAAAATATGTCAAAGCAACTTTTGTGTAAAAACCAGAAAAGGCCCGTTGCATTTAAAAGGGGGAATAATGTTGCCTAGGGGGTTCCTGCCCCTTTGGAAAAAAGGGTTGCAAAAAGTTTTTAAATTTTTTGGGTTTGGGGAAATGAAAACAGCTTAAAAAATGACAATTTTCGTTTTGGATTGAACCTTGAGTTTGTTTACATGAAATTTTACGGCTAATTTTAGGGGGAAATGAGGGCAACAAAAATCGGGTATTTTACCCCTCCTTAATACAGAACAATCGATGGACTTGTTTGGCATCTTTAAGATTAAGTAAGTTACGATTTTATCTAGGAGAGCAGCTATAACAAAAAACAAATAAATTTGAGGGCAAATGATAATGTTTCTTAGTTTAATTTTTCATAACACACTGAATTCTCTTAGCTTGCAAATATTTTCTTTTTCATCTTAGATAGTTCCCTCTAAAAATGGAATCCAATTATTTAGCGCTGCTTTAACAAGCATTTCAAAACTTCACTAATTGACCATAATTGAAAATACTTGTAGGTGTGATAATAAATTGTTAATTTTAATAAAAAGGTTAAAAAACAGTGAGGGGATTAAAATTTTACATATTTGTTCTTTTTTTTGGATAGTTGAAAAAAAATGATTGTAGTAAATTTAGCAGAGAGGTAAAATATTTTTCCCTGGGAATTTTTAATTTACAAAAACACTACTTTTTTTGCAATAGGTTTCAAGATTGTTGACTTGCAAAAGGGCCCAATATTTTCTTTTTGGGCTTTTAAAAACAGGGGTGTTTTTAGATTCTAACAATTGTAAAACGAGACGCTTTTGTTTTAAAAATTTTCAAAAACCAAAAATCAGTCTGCGGAAAGGAATAACACTTTAAAAATGTAAGTAAAAGGGTTTTTGATAATAAATTTTTGATTTGGGTTGAACCCCCTCAAAGGGGGGGGGGGGGGGCTCGTTTTCTTTTGGTTTTATTAAAATTTATAGAATATAAAAATTTCATCTGACAATTTAGTTAAAAAAAAATGTCAGGTTTTAAACTACAAATTGTATCAAAATTTTTGGAAAAGTTAAGGGGTTTTGTTTTTAAAAGTGTTATTATGTTTAAAAATAATAAAAAAACCCAAATTTAAAAATTGTTTTTCCTTTTGTAAAATTTTTAATAAATTCGTTTTTTTTTTTCAACTCATCATTGCTGAGTTTTTTTAAGGTATATGGATTTTTGATGAATCAAACGTACTAACAAAAGGATTTATTCCGATATTTTATACATAAAACGGAGGTCTTTCGACTTCATTGGAGATACAGGATGTATCTGACGTCAAACCAAAAAAAACGCCCACACTCGAGACCTGTCACCGGTAGTTATAGAATTGTATAAGTTATATAATTTTACAAGTACAATTTTTAGTAAAATTGATTTTGTTTACCACCAATTGTAGTCATCGTGACAGGAGTTTTGTAATCTTTCCATAAATACACTTTGTAGTAAAAAAAACTTGAAACAAAGTGATCACTCGAAGGAATTAATCACAACAAAATTACATGAAATTTGTAGACTTGGTTTGATTGAGTCTGTACATGAGGGATAATGAATAAGTGCAACAACCCTCACGCCCGCTAGCACCGGCTTGAGCGGGCTCAATTCTAAAAACTTAATAAATTTCTGGGGAAACATGATCCCGGAAAGACCAAAAAATATAAAAACACTGAAGTGAAATAGGGGGTGGCCCCACAGCACTTGACCCCCTGCTGTTTTGGGGGTATTTAAAAAACTTGGGAAAAAAAGGTATCCCCCGGAAGCATTAATCCCCCCAAAAAAAATTGAAAAATTTCAGACCGGTTTATGAGTCTGTTTAAAGAGGGAATGAATAAGTGAAAATCCCTCCACCCCTAAACACGGCTTAAACGGGGAAATCAAAAATTTTAACAAATTAAAAAGGGTTTGGGATCAATGATTCCGATAAAAAGTAAACCCCCTTTTGATGAATTAAAAGTTTAAAAACTGGCGATTTCATTAAGTTTGGGTTTTTTTTTTCATGATAGGGGGTTGTCATTTAACATAATTAAGTAGAAATACTAAAGTTTCTTTATAATTTCAGAATGTGCAGATAGTGGGTCTACCTATTTCTTGATTGGAAATTTTGAGCTGTTCTTCAACAATAAGCAGCCCTGGTTTTAAATTTTTTGCTTTTATGCCCTTTCCTTTTCAAAGGAGCTTTTTGGGGGTTTCATTTTAGATTTTTATGCGGGAAAAAAACTAAAAATTAAACAAATTTAAAAATTTATTTTCGATTTTTGAAATTAAATGAATCGACATATGGGAAAAAAACAGTCATTTGGGGTTTGGGGGGAAAAAGTCAAAACCCAAGGTAAGCGGATTTTTTTAATTTTTTAAACTGATCTTTAAATTTTAAAATGTACAGTATAGGGAAAGAATTATAGTACAACATTTAAAAATTATCATCAAAAAATTTGGGAAAACAAGGAAAGACAGTTTTAAAAAATTTTTTATTAGTTTTTTGGGGGTTTACAAATTTTTTAAAATTTGATTTCATTTCGTATTAAAATTACTTTTTTAGTATGAGATAGAAATTTTTTATCACTGTTTAAAAATTTTTGTGATGGGCATGGGGGTAAAGATATTTTTGGGACTCTGAAAAGTGGAAGATGAACATTTTTAAAGGTTAATAGGGTACCAAACAATGAAAAATTTTGGGGAAATCGAAGGGTTTTTTTTTTGATTATTTAAATTTCCAAATTTATTAATTTTTTTTATTAAACTTTTTCTTTTCTTTGTGGAAGGTGATCAGCCAACTTTTGAAGGGGTTTTGGGTTTATCATCTGAAAATCGCTCAATATCTATCTCCAAGATGCAACACAGCTAATACACTTAATATCTCAAAGGAAAAGGTAAAAATTTTTTTAAAATTTTGAGAAAAAAAATATTTTTTTAAAAAATTTTCAAATTTTTTTTTTTCGAAAAAATAAAAAAGGGGCCCTTTTAAATTTTTAAATAAAACATATTTTTTTATGTTTTTGCCGGGGTTTAAATATAAAAATTATTCCCTTTTTATTAAAAAGTGTTCCAAAAATTGCCCCCATTGTTTGGAAAAAAAACGATGACCTTTTATGTGGGTTCTATACTCGTTTTACTAACATCCCAAAAGTTGGGTTAAAAACAAAACCTCTTTTGGGCGATCTTTCACAAAAACGTAGAAATTTAAACTTGTGAATTCCCCAAAATTTGGGCATTGCTTTAGAAAAAGTCAAACAAGGGGATATCGTTTTTTAACTACAATTGGGGGAAAAAGCGAGGGCCGGTCAGTTTTTTTTTTGGGAAATTTTACCCCTTAAAGTAAGTAACCCAAAAAAAATATTTCCCCATTAAAAAAGTAATTTTTTAGTTTTTCAAAATTTTAAAAGGGAATCACTGAAATATTTTCTTAAACTTTTCCCAAATTATACATCAAATCGGCCCTTTTAAAATTATTTTAAAAATTAATTTTTTAATTTTAAAATTTTAAACTTAATCGTAAAAAATTTTTTAAAAGCTTGTGTCAACAGAAAATTTAAAGACCCTTTTAAAAAAATTTGATTTAAAAAAAAGTCCTTTTTTACGAATCTTCTTAAATTTTTTTTTAACACAGGTATTCAATTTATGACGATCAGAGGAAAAAAGCCTTAATTGTCAAAATGCATCTATCGTGTGTCCTGAACTAAAGTCTTCCCTTTTATTCAACCCAAAAATTTGGGAAAAAATTTCAAAGAATAAAGAAAGACCCCTGCGGGCTTGAAAAACGTTTTTTATGCACCCGGTTTTTAGTATTTAGTCCCAAAAATAAAATTTAAACAAAAAGAATAAATTTTATCAAAAGGATTTGATAAATAAATAAGAAACGTTTTTTATAAACCCTTCTTGTGTTTTTAAACTGTTTATTTTCTTCCCACCAAATTTTGATACCGTATATTACAATTGTATATTTAGAACATAGCGATACGCTATTGTCTATTAAACTGTGTAAAGTTTTATTATCAAAATTTCATAACTAACATATATATGACAATATGTAGACCTAATGATACAACGTGCTACTAAGTATAAATGTTTAAGCTACATTTATCGATTCTAGAAGGGTTTATGACATGCTGAATATCATAATGTAATGTACTTTTATGAAACGAAACCACACTTTATTTCAAAAGATTCATTTCTACGAAATAAGATCAGCTATTTGCTGACAGATTAGCACATTTATTACAATTCTTATTATGTTTTGCAGATTTTGATTTTGGAGACTGGATGAAATTCAGGGAATTCGATTTAGGATCATTTTCAAACCATGGGACACAATATCTTATGCAAGAATTAGGGATTGATTCAATGTTGTACCAGCCGATGTGCAATTTACACGATAAAATATACGGAGCAGACCAATTACAAGAAGGTATGATAGATATATAGTAAATTCCTCACGTGAATGCTCTGTCGAATCATGATCCGAAACATTTAAATTTAAACATTGATTTTGAAAATAGTTTTGTTTTTACTATTTATCATGTGACCTCCATTGTTGCCCACATAAAGTTACAATAAAGAAACTTATATATAATTATATTTTATCATAAATGAATCAAAATCGTCCATGCATGTTCGTTAGATATAAGAATACTACTGCTTAGATACGTAATTTTGTTTAATTTCTTTTTATTTCATTTTAAAATATGTTTGTTTTAAAGCTATGGACATACGATTTTTGTAAACATGACACTTGTTTTTGATAGGGTGTTCTTCAAAAGATATTTTCATTCCATTGATGCCTACGGCTGCATGCAGATTTTCAGAAGAGTGTATGAATTTAGAATGTTGTTTGGATGTTCCTGAGATCAACAGACATTTTAAAATCAAGTTTATATTCGATCCATGTAACTATAGATATACTGTCAATTTTGAAAAGTTGACCATCGAAAACAACTTATTTGACGTGGATTTAACTGCAGAACAAAGCATGTCATTACGCGGTGTGCTGACTGCAAGGTAAAGTGGCGGGAAATATAAAATAACAAAATTAATATAATCTCATCGCCTTGCAATTGCACATTAATGTTGGCAATTTGTATTTTACATAATAAGTCTTAAGAAAACTATGTTTATCGCTTTATATTAATTGAATTCATACAATTATATATAATTTATGACTTAAATGTAATTATAAGATATTAACAAATACCACAAAAATGAAATTAATTATGAATTTCTTGGAAATGGTATTTATCATACCGAGTTTGTTTATTTCTTTTCTTTTTAAATGACGATTCTCTTCGTATATATCCAAATTAATGGACTTATCAAATAAATGTGTTTGTTGTAGATACCGTGTTGAAGATTTACCTGTCGATGGTCTGTATAAATTTAATTTTGGAGTAAAAGTATGTTTGGACAAAAATACATGCCCAGTGGATATTCAGATTCTAAATGAAACTTTAATCCCGAAGCCAAACTGTTTCATGAAACTACAACAGGGATACACTATTAAAGGTAAGTATACCCTATCATAAAATCAAATATTGTTCGAAATTTTATATTAAATAGTATATTGGCAATGTTTATTACAGAAACTTACTATCTGTATTTTAATAAATAATAAAGAGTTTACTGATAAAAATTTTTTTTTTCTTTCAACATTATAACACACGAAACCATAAATAACTTTTAAAGAAGGCACTATTCTGCATGTGTAGATGTGTAAAATAAGTGATTAATACACTCGGAAAAATTGTCATCTTTGCTGTGCGCACAATGTTGAAGTTATTAATTGGCTTTGCCATCTAATTGCAGACTTCTCCTTGCAAAAGTGGATCAGCAACTTAAACTCAAATGTATCGGTATCACCTCTTCCAAACAACATTGCTTCAATTTTGACAAGTAAATTAGGCATTTCCCAATTTTTGAAAACCGATACTTGCGCTCAAGGTGTTCATCCTTACCAACATCAAGGCTGGAACTTGGGTAAAATTGATTTACTATAACATAATTTTGTTTAAGATATCTGCTTTGAGAAGGTAAAATGCTATATAATGATTTTCATGCACTTATGTTTTACAACTATTTTCTATAATTATAATGCAAACATATAATTTTTGAATATTTTATAATGTTGTAGTTTGTACGTCAAGAACATACAATCGATTAAAATGTGTCAAGGTTTCTAGCTTATTAAAACGGTATAATGTGATAATTTATATTTTAAAGTTGCTACTAAAAACGGGTAAGAATTAGATTATACGATTTTCAAAAGATATTTGAATTGCATTCATTCTAAACATAACAATGTGTCATACATCACGTAATATAATAAATAATGAAATATTCATGCATAAAACAATGAAGCTGTTCTTAAGACTTGGTGAGCTCTTCTTTCATTATCTTGAGATTTACTTATATATGAATCATGTTGCAACGTTTGTTTTTTGTTTTCTTTTGTGTTTTTTTTGTAGTTTCTTTGATAAAACATATTACAAATCAATAATAATTTCCCTTAAACCATCTTGTATATAATACGCATGCATTATGTATAAAGAATGAAAACCAAATAATAATTCTGAGCTCATTTTGATCCAGATTCTTTCTTTGTATACACTGTGGCATATATAATTTGTAAATAGAGAGATTATTTTACAGGAGATTGTCCTTTGAATGTTTCCATACCGGATCATAAGCTGAAAGAAGTTTCATGTACGATAACCGGATCCTGTACCTCACTCACATGTTGCATACCCATTCCAATACTAAATAGTAACGTGGAAGTTCATGTAGATATAGATCCTTGCACACAAATGATGAGCCTAGGTGTTGAACGACTCAACTACTCACTCAGTCTAATAGATTATGAGTTTGGCAGAAAAGAATATGTTTGGCTTTCAGGAGTCTTGCGACTAACGTAAGTAGCGCAAACGTTTTACTGAGACTAAGTATCTCAACATAATCTTTCTAAAATAAAGCTTCATTGCGCTTTTTTACTTGATTAACTTTTGCCATTTGTTTCGTTAGCCAGTATGTTTGTTTCTATTGCAAGAAAGATATACTCTACAACAAGTTGTAACCGAATAGTGCTATTATTTCTCAATTACTGGAATGTTTCAGGTTCACTGTACATGATATTACAAGTACACATGAATTTCTTGTGTCTGTAATATTTGAAGAGTGTTGGGAATCCGCTGGCAGCTGTTCTAATCAGATGAAATTATTGGAAAATCAACGACTCCCCAAAAAGATTTGTAACTTCAGTACAGGCTACAATATTCCAGGTACTAAGATATACAGCCTTCAATTTTCTTGTTTTATTTTTCAGTTATTATGTAATTACTTTAGATTTAAAAATATATAAATGTGTTCGATTTACCAGTATGTCTTTGTTTTATGTTTGCAGGTAACTTTTCTGTAATGACATGTGAAACGTCGAAAAGCATTCGGAATGATAAAATTCATATAGTTCATCATTTGAACATGAATTTACAGAACACTAACATATTGCAATTTTATTTGATAATGCAACAGTGATATAATAAAACCTGACAGTTATATAATTAACTCATCCCTAATTTAATCTTTATAAAAGCAAATCAATAACAAAAATTTATTTTGATTTTGAAAGTCTTACACATTTTGTTATTTTATTATTTTCCAGACTTTTCACTCTCTACATGGCTGTCCGAGCACGGAATTAACACAAATGACAGTCTTAAGCTACATATACGAAAAGATCTCCTTGCTGATCTAGGACTTGGTGCATACCTGAACGAAAACGAATGCTCATTAAAACAGGCATGGAATTCAAATGGATGGATAAGTGGTTAGTGTCCAGTTATGAACTAAAACATGCAATGATTTTTATACAATCTGTCGTATTTTGTTTGTTAAAATATCTTAAGATCTAATGATTACGATATTGAAACTATTTTCTCTCGAATTCTGATGTATTTATTTTATTTTTTACAGAGTGTCCAAAATCTACACAGCTCTCCTCGCTACCAAATGGCATACAATGCTCGCTTCAGGGTCATTGCACGTCAGCCAGTTGTTGTGTATCTATGGATCAGATAGGATATTTCCTTCAAGTTGGCATTGATATAGACCCATGCCTCCAAATTCTTACGATACAAATTGAGCGCCTTAAAAGAGAAATTCCTTTACTAGAATATTCGTATGGTACCACGGAAGAATTCTGGTTGTTTGGTATTGCAAGGATAAGGTGATGTTTCCTTGTGGCTACTTTTTAAAATACCGTTATTTACCTTTTCAATAAAACTTTTTTAAACAAAGAATACATTTTATTTTAATATTTTAGAAATATTGGTTGATATCGTACTCTGATATTCTACCTAGCCAAAAACATGAATCGACATCTATAAACAATTTAATACCGAATGAGTTACCCATAAACATTTAATTCCTAGTTTAGAAACATATCAAGATTATTGTCATGAGATTTTTACTAGTGTTTCATATCTGATAACAATGCCAAACCTGTTTTGTTCAATCTTTCCCTTTAACAAGAGAAATAAATTATATCCTATTTTATCTGATGAAAGGTATCAAGTGTACAATTTACAAGAAGAAAGGAAATACCAAGTGAATATGGAAATAAGCATTTGCCCTGAATCTTATTTGCCTTGCAAAGTTTACAACGTTTTGGATAATACTAGACTACACAAAACCCTTTGTGATTGGGGACTAGTAACAAAGCCTTTAGGTATGCTTTTAACCTTATTATAATTGTAATTATATTATGTTTTATGACGAGGAAGCACATTTACTTAGTTTAAAATACTAACAAACTTGAAAAAAATACAATCCCACGATCGAACACGCAATTTTTATTATTTCATACATATAAAATGATTGAAAGGGCTACATGTATTGTTAACTTTTAAACTTGGTTTTTAACATTGAACAAACAAATCGATTACATTTTTTCAGTTTTAATAACTGTTTCAAATTTTATTTTATTTACTTAGAATTTTCAATAACCAAATGGATGGATAACTTCGGAGGAATTAAGAACATTAGCAGTCTGCCGGCTTACGCTTATGATATACTTTATAACGACATGGGTATTGCAGACTTTCTCTCTCAAAGCCAATGTGTTGTCGGCTTACATCCATTTACTGACCGAGGAGGCATAAATAATGGTATTTACGTTCTGTTATTGTCTTATGTGTAGTTTGTAGAAGTGTTTTTGTCAAAATTTTCATATAAATGCCTATCTAGTATAATTTTTGATAAGACCTAATGATTACCCATTATTAAAGGAATTGGCATTTACCTTTAACTTACTAGCATCTGATTAGAAATATGTAAAAACAGCTTATTCGGTCGTTTCGCTTTCATTTTTATCGTACAAATTTGTCTTCAAAACTGAGAACTTTGCATCATAGCACCATTTTTATACCAAAATAGACCCGATCTTTTGATCGAAACTGGATATTAACATTGTTTAAGAAAGCACATGTAGTGAACAGATGTGTGTATATATTGATTTTTTTAAAATATATATATTTACAACAACAGAATGATAATTATGTTTCACAATACATGCAGAATGTACCGGATATTCTAAGCCAACAAAACCACTGGGCCCGTTATCCTGCCATCTTAGTTCTACTTGCATTGATATAGAATGTTGCATCGACACAAACATTCTACCTAGAACACTTCACACATTCCTAAAGATAGTTGCTTGCCAGCAAAGACTGACTGTTGGTATTGAAAAATTTACGTTTGAACTTAATTTGGTCAATTACAACTATGGCGAACAGGAACAGTTTTGGTTACAAAAGATCGTTCGAGTGGAGTAAGTTCCAAACATTTATGCACACATTTTTATATTGAATTTAAGATTGTAATAGCCGTTGATACGATATATTTTTGTGGACTGTATGTTTTTTATGCCATGAAGTCTAAATTTGATAAATGCATTCACAAGGATTTATTATATTATTTCCAGTGATTCAGATATAAATTAATTTTGACATATTGTACGAAGTCGATCTGATACAAAACTTAGATTAAATGCATGATTAAAGTGTTGTACACAATATGACATAATAAACATGTAATCTAAAGATGATATATTTATTGTCCTTTTGAACTGAAGTTGTATCATGTGTTATTTCAGTTTCCGCCTTTATGATTTACAAGAGGAAGAAGCATATGTTATTGATCTTGATGTCAGTGTTTGTCTTGAAAGTGGCGCTGCTTGTTCTCTTAAGCAAACTGTATTTTCCCAAGCTGTTTTACCTAAACCACAGTGTACCCTCGTTGAAGGATTTAAAAGGAACAGTAAGTCACCAGAAACAGTTTTAGTCATTTATATCATGTATTTCTTAACATCTTAAAAATTGCTTAGAAGAAATATTGTTTAAAAAAACAACTTTAAAACTTAAAAATATTTGGAAAACATTTCAAATATGTATCTACAATAATAGTTTATTCGTCAGTGACGTTCATAAATCTTAACCAAGGTGGGTGCCTTACCGATGGCCCTTAGTATCTGGTGCTTGTTGGAGGTTGCGATAAGGGAGTGTTTCTTTACATTGATGATCTGTCTTTTTGTTGTTTTTTCTATTCAATTTTACCACTTCTATTTTGCCTTTAGATTTTTCAATTTCTGGATGGATGAAAAACCACGGATACACACTTGGCCAAAGCATTTCAGACCTGGATTATTCAGCGTTGATATCAGATTTAGGTTTGCCTAGATATCTCTCACAAGAAGAATGCAAACTGCCAGACTATGCTAATAAAACATTAGATGTAACAATGTCAAGTAAGTTTGTATAAAAAATATTACGTTAATGATTTCCATATAAATATATATCTTACTAGAAACTTTTCAAGAGGATAGTTGTCTACGTTTAATGAGGAGCCACCCGCCCTTTCAGGCACCGAGGGTACGGACGCCGTTCGAGCGAATCATGCAATACTCAAGACTAAACAATAAAATTACATTTTAAATGGAACAGAAATAATAAGGAAGCAGATAGATTCACACAATTCACACAACGACGTAAAAATAATAAATAAATAGAGGTATTGTTTTCATACAAAATATTTGATAAGGAACACAGTGGCCAGAAAAATGTATTTCTATTGCAGAATGTGCTCTTAGTCACTTTCTCCATAGTCTTCCAAGTGAGCTGAAGTGTTATTTGTCAACATGCAACGATATGAATTGTTGCCTGTCAGTGAATCCCATCGACAGAAACTTCAATATAAAATTCAGTGTGGATCCTTGTCAGCTGTTATTAACTGTGGAGATTGAAGAGTTCAAAGTACAACTGTCTTTGCAAGATTTTGACTGGAACAAAGAGCAAGAAATTTACTTGAAAGGAATAATAAGATTAAAGTAAGCCATATCATTCTTTATCATACCATACACTCTTTATATGTTGCCTTCCCTGCTCAGAAACAATTTTGTAATGCTTTTCCTTTCTTTTCAAATAAGCAGATTCTAGTATTTTTCATGATTCATATATCTTAACCTACTATAAAAGTTATGAAACTTTTATTAAGCCATAATAGTTCTTTATCATGTCTCTGTCCTGCTTTACAATATAAATAATATATAACGTTATCAGTAGACTTAGTAAAATAGTACATATTGTTAATCAAGTATATATGGAGATACATGTAATTTTAATTGATATTTCACAACGGATTGAAAAACTTAACCACTATTATCTATATCTTATTTTAAATATCTAGCACTAAACTTTCTATTCCATATATTAGCTTCTTAATCGTTAATTTTATTGTGTATTTATAAAATATTTTAGTGTACTGTTTTTATCACCAGATTTGTTTTGGAAAACCTCGACGGAGAAAATGCCTTTGTATTGACGCTAACAACAAAAGCATGCCTTGAATCCAATGGCACATGTTTGTTTGAGAAAAATATTTTCAACAAAGCAAAGTTTTCAAAACGAGTTTGTGATTACTCGACTATGCGGGCATTCCCTATAAAGGGTATGTTTATATATTTATTTAGATTATTTAGATAATGGCAGTATCATAAGCTTCTTTTTCAAGTGGCATAATGCTCATTGTTTTATTGCTATGCTGAGATAAATTAGTTGTATATTGCAGAAGACTGAAATGGCTTAAGAACAATAATTGATAATGACAAATGCTTAGATTAAATTAAAATGTCTGCCTAAAATATAAAAATGCTTCCCCACTCTTTACATAAATTGAACATATTCGATTGTTGAACTTGGTTTTTTATATCAAATTAACTTCTTATATAACTAAACTAAACAAAGAATACAAAAAATAGCTTTCTTTGTACATGTACCTTTTATTATGAACAAAAAAATACGTTTTTTTATTTATCATTATCAATAATCGTGGCACTTTATTCTCTATTTCATTATAATGGCCTAATTTTAGAAATAACGTATTTTGCCTTTACGGAATTACGAATTGTACATTTGGTATGTGGCTTTATATAGAAATGTGGCTTTGTACCGAAATATAAGCAATATTGTAATCATTCATCATTTATTATTTTGATTTGCAGACTTTTCACTACTTGAATGGAAGTTACATAATAAACTCCAAACAGACGTGGCACTTCAAAACCCCTTTTCCGATATATTACTGGAAGACTTAGGCCTGTCGACGTATATAACTGACATCCAATGTAAAGTTAATCACACAAAGCTTAATTCTGGATGGGAAAATAGTAAGTTACACTCATCTACTACCATAAAAGAAAAGGATTTTAAAGGCTTATCATTCATTCTAATTTGAAAAATACCTGTTTTTTTTTAATTCATAATTTTGACAATATACTCCATTTGAATGACAAAAAACCCTAACGGTTTAATGTTTCGTAATAAATATCGTATGCTTTAAGAGAACTGCTGAAAACTTTTGATTGATACTAGAATATGTAGAATGCATCATAGAAAGTTGTTTTTCGTAACTATGTGTAAATATTTTCAATTGCAACACGAATATTTCGATGTTGAAAATGGACCGTTAATCTGGCTGTTTACGAAAAGAAAGAATTTTTTTTTCAATATTCAAATCGTGTTTTGCACAGTCTGTTCTTAGAAATGGATACAATCAATTCTACTTACAGTCCTCCTTCTGAAAAATACAAGTATTTGAAATTAATAGCATTGTATTGTTTCATTTAAAGGTTGTCCGTATACAAGTACCAAAGCTTTGCCGTCAAGTATGTCATGTACTCTGAATAGTGCATGCTCGAAGCTAGAATGTTGTGTGTTTGTGAATGCAATCAACAGAAATATCCAATTTCAATATGACATCGATGTCTGTAAGTCAACAGTGGAAGTAAATGTTGAAAAACTACAGTTGAGAAGATCTATATTCGACTTTTTATGGGGTATGTTTTTATATAATTACTGTATATATATTTCAAAATAATATAATTTCTTAAAACAGATTGCCTTAGATAGAAAATGAAACGTATATTTTGTTTGAAGTTAATTATTATTTAAGATACATGTCACTAGAGAATTATTTACTAAATTTGATATAATAGCAAATGTAATGAGAATTGTATATATCATTGTGAATAAAATTATACATACCAGTCAATTAATTGGTATAAATACTTAACAAAATGTTGATATTTTGGCTTTGATTAAACAAACATTTTTCTTCTAACAGGACAGACAAAAAGATTAAACTTTGGAGGCATTGTTCGTTTTGAGTGAGTTACACTATTTTGTCAAATATCATTTTATTTTATATAATCTAACAACACAATTTGTCATCCAAAATAATTCTACAGAAAATGCTGTATACTTTACAACACATTTGTCAGCATATGTATTAAATCATAGTAAAATATAAAATATCAATAATCGAATTGCTGTTACCATATTCAGCATGTTGCTACACATATTTGATAATATTTTTGAAATAACAAACTTAATAATATTTGTTTTTCTATGATTAGCTTTTCCTTCTTCGACCTTCAAAATGAAAAGAAGATTATGTCGAGTGCACAACTGGCTGTCTGCTTTGAATCGTCCTCATCATGTGACATACAGACGACCATTCTTGATAGAGTCCTCTTTCCTAAACAGTCATGTAAATGGAATCGGGATTATGTCATCAAAGGTAATCATCTACATTTTATACAAGGTGATCAACATTGCGTAAGTTTTTCAAAAATAATACAATTGGACAGAAAGGTATGCGTCGTATTCTGATGAACATTAACGCGCTTGTGAAATTGTTTTAAGACGGAAATATTTTACTGAAGGAAACCCAGCAAGAACGAATGACACAGTATAATTATGAAACCATATCCCTAATATGCCTATCATTTCACACTTTTGATGTGTTAACAGTATGTTTTTATATGTGATATGAAACAATTCAACATAACAGTATGAAATCATTAACTTTTAAGTCAAATATGAACAAAGGACAAATAATAAGGAAGCAGATAACATCGAAAGACATTAACGGTGCATTTGACGTTCAAAATAAAAAGTGAAATGCTTTTAAATGGTATGCAATTGATAACAAAGATTCATCCCTAACTTAAATGCACATATTTTCTATTGTTCATTATTTTGCTTTTAGATTTCTCTTTGCAAAAATGGATATCACACGAGGGTTTAACAGCCGGCAAGCCTTTGGATTCATATTACTCCTCAAAGTTGTTGGATTCACTAAACCTTTCTCCCTTCCTTAACGAAGCATCGTGCCAAGGAAATGTGTCAAGAAATACTTCATGGACCATTGGTTAGAAAACATTTTTCTATATGAGCCTAATATCTGTCAGTTTCCAATCTAATCTAATAGTTTTTAATCATTATGCTCAACTTAAGTATTTATAGAACCTCAACTACTGTCATTCTATAAATCAATAGTTATTTGCGAATATTTGACACATTTTCGACCAAAAAAGGCAAATCTAAGATCTCTATTTTCTCTTCAATCTGCCTATATATCCTAATTCAGATTGCCCTAGAAGTCTTGCTACCGGCCTACAGAATTTGCCAAACAACGTGCATTGCACTGTTGGCCAGAGCTGCACCGATGTCGAATGCTGTGTTGAAGTAGAAACAGTGAATAAAACATTCCAAACTCTGTTAAATGTTGACCCTTGCGCACATCAAATAACATTTGAAATTGAAAAGTTTAAACATTCAAAACAACTGTTTAATTACACATGGGGTCAGACAGAACATCTATGGTTATACGGAGTCATTCGAATGAGGTAAACTTGAAATGATTTTATTTTTCATTTAGATATAATCCTATATTTTAGCTGATTCCTGTATGAGAATCGTTGAATAAGCATATTTATCTATCTATTTATTTAACGAAAGAGTTCATCATAAATTATTAAGAACCGTACTTATTTAATTAGACATGTACCCAGCTGCAAATACAATATGTATAATAACATCATAATTTACGATATTGTATCTCTGCAATGTGAGTTTTTATTTAAATTCAATCTTCACATCAACAAGAAAGTAAAAATTTGATTTTGTATAAATGCTATTCTTTTCCCTTAAATAGTGTGTCTGTGTATAATCTTGGAGGAGAAGGAAAGTATATTGTTAACATGAACCTAAGCGTTTGCCTAGAAGCCAATGCTGCCTGTCAAACAAACGTCCAAGTCCTTAAAAACGCTGTTCTTCCAAAGCTCAATTGTGACTGGGATGCTGACTTCATTGACCCAAGTAAGTCCTAATGCAACTAATTCTATTTCAGTGTTTCGTAATTTTTATCGGAAAGAAATCTATTTGGCAATGAAATGCCTTTCTTTTTAATTTTTCTTTTATAAATCATCTACTCTTATTGTAGCATTTTGCATTAAGTTGTACGATAATGTCTCTTCTTATAATTGTAGAAAAATACTATTTCAAACATATTTAAGTTACCTTGCTGTCGGATGAGCTCCACTGCTCATTGTTGATAATTTTTATGATAAATGAAAGATCAGTACTTAAAAAATTATCTATTGCAGACTTTGATTTGGATATATGGTATAAAGCACAGGGACTTTCTCAAGGCCAGGACTTGACAGAAAAATACACACATATACTGTACAACGACCTTAATCTGTCACCATATATCGGAGAACCATGCCTCTTTACCAACAGCTCATTAAACGTTTCCAACTTAGGATGGGCAAACGGTAACACTTGATTATACATATATTTATCTCTATGTAGTCTCCTTTGAAAAAAGGTCATCTATATTGTTCAAACATTACTACAACAAGGTTTAACATGAACTAAAATGAACAAAAACAACAGAGCGATGGTAATGATTTTCAATTTAGATACTTTTCAAATTATAAATTAAGTATATCTCTTTGAAAATACAATGTACATTTGTACCATTCAATACAAACGCTGCTATTATTACGTTCAAAATAATTTATATATTACAGAATGCCCTTATGCAATTGATCTGCCTAAACTATTGGATTCCACAAAGTGCCGAGTCCCAACATTTTGTACAGGCATTGAATGTTGTTCGGAAGTTGGCCTTCTCAAAAGAAAACTAAATACATATATTTTCTTCCACACTTGCCTGAATCGCCTTGAAATTGGAATAGAAAAGATGAAGTATAATTTGGATTTAAATGACTTTGACTTTGGAATAGAGAAAACCGTCAGCTTACAAGGAGTGTTCAAACTTCGGTAAAACTATTTGAATAGCACAATTTCTGATGTTGAAAGAAAGTGAAAACAATTATTGATATAGAAAGAAAAACTTTTATCAAATATAAATGAATACTGTAGAATATAAAATATGAAATCAGATTCGATCTTAAATAAAACTTATTAATGCTACTGTATTGGTGTCATGGTTTATACAAGATTAAAGATAATTTGAATTGTTTTGTTGTTTGTTTTGCAGCTTTCTGATTGAAGACTTGAGAAATGAAGGTGTTCTTCTGATGACTTTGGACATAGAAATATGTTACTATGCAAAGAAAACTTGTTCGGAGATTATACATATTCTGAAAAATACCAAACTAAGGAAGCCTGTTTGTGACATGAGTACCGGATACAAAATCAAAGGTACTTTATCGTGCAAAACATAGTAGATGATCATTTTTACAAAATAAAGAATAAGAACAAAATTGATAAGTTACAAAATGTGTTAAGAATACTGATTCAGAAAAAAAGTTAATAACTCAGAAAGAAACAGTACAAAAAATTCGTTGAAAAAATGTTTTTGACACTTTTAACAGCTTTATGTAGAAAGTTGCTTCAAGAAAATTTGCCTTAAGCTAACGGAATGACAAACAATTAAATGTTTTCGTTTTAAAACAAAGTCATGTAAATAATCATTTTATATTTTATTGTAGATTTCTCGATGAAGAAATGGCTAGCAGACAAAGGTCTTGTTGCAGAGCATGTCGAGGCTTTGCCTATGTCTATGTTATACGAGGAACTAGGCATATCTACGTACCTAAAAGAAGACGTTTGTAAAATACATACAAATACAAGTTGGAACAAAGGTAAAAGTGAAAGTTTGTTTAAAACCAATGTTGATCAAACAGTAAGAACTAATAATATAAATAGTGTTTTCGTAACGTATTCTTAAATTGTATTTTTATTTTCAGAATGCCCGCTTGATGTTCATTTACCTAAACTACAGGATAACATTTTCTGTACACTCGGAAAGACATGCAATGCCATTGACTGCTGTATGCACTCCGCACTTCTTCAGCGTAATTTTGCAATGAGTCTGCAAGTAGACCAATGTAAAATGACATTGACAGTTGCTATAGAGAAACTTACGTTTGAAATATCACTGCTAGATTATGATTGGGGTAAGCTTAATAAAAATGAAGTAAATAAAAGATTTAACTGTTAACTGAGATGTTATGTATAATTAATAAGAACAACATAGTTGTTAAGGAGATTGTTTAGTTTCATTAACGAATAACTTTATCAGCTATATTCAGTCAAGATTAAACTGTTTATGAAATGTTATGTAGAAGTAATGGGAGCAACATGATTTCAACTGAGATTAATCAATGTATAATTTTATCATCAGTATTCATTCTTTGTTCAAAACATATCATACATTCATTTCATGTATAGATATGGAAATCATTCATTTGCTTTTTACAGAGAGAAAAAAGATATGGAAATGGACTATTATCAACGGAAGTTTATTGTTTCATTTTCTGTTGTATTTATAATAGATTTCTGTTTTGACACCCTTATTTTAAATACATTTCAGGGAAAGAGAATCAATTCGATTTGTTTGGAGTTATTAGAATGAGGTAAATATTAACGAGAATAATCATGACAAATATAACAGTGTAAGCAAACAATGCTTACCGTATATTTTGAGTTTTGATCATTTTAATTTGAAATCATTTAATTTAAAAATAAAACGTTGTTTAAAATAAATCTTCAGCACGCTCAATTTGTTTGAATGCATGCAATTCCACATGCGATATATTCAAATACTAAAACATGGTCCTTTTTTACAGATATTCCGTTGATGATCTACGTGTGTCAGGAATGTACCTTTTAAATGTCCAAATGGCTGTTTGTTTGGAATCTAGCGACAAATGTGAATCAATTGCTACGGTCCTTAATAATACTCTTATCACAAAAATGCCATGTGACCTTGATCCAGGATTTGTTATGCAGAGTAAGTCTTTAAGAATGTAATTTTTTAACATGGCTATTATCAATGATTTTTCAATTATTGCTTTAAATATTCATTTAAGAATAATAAGGTTAAACAAAAAACGTTTAAATCTGAAAATCACAATATTGAACAATTTAAAATTATTCAAATGCAGTAACAAATCAAAACACATATTCAGAAATCGTAGTATCATAAATACTATAACGTTTGAATGATTAATTACTTTGAATAATGGTAATTTCAAATTTGCAATTTCACCTTCAAAATTTACAATCTTAAATACATTTATAAACATTTTACGCGGAATATGTATCCAGACAATTTTATAGATAAAGGTTAGTATATGGAATGGAATCAACCTAATATCTCTATGCCCCTAGTTTGCACCAACTTAGTATTTACACATGACTCCTATTTGCAACACCATAAGTGTTCCAATGCCTGGTATTTGCATTAACAAGGTAAAAAATATTTTTTTCTTCAGATTTTTCACTTTCCTCTTGGCTCGCAACAAAGGGATATCCACTTAAAAGTTACCTCGGCGATGACGTCACATCCGAACTGCTTGAAGTCCTAGGAATTATCGGGTACCTTAATGAAACGCAGTGTATAAGGAAATCCCCAACATATACACCGTCGGCTTATGGTTGGAAGAAAGGTATATAGTACCGTCGATTGCAGATGAGATTAAGAATTAGTAAATAAATAGCAAACTTGTGAATGGTATTTGTCATGTGTTATATATTTAGTCATTCAGGATCTAAACTCGTGAAACTCTCAAAATATTACGTTTATGATTGTAGACATTATAATTAAGTGAACAATGTTTTGAAATCGTAATGTAGAAGCAATATGTTCAATTGGAGAGTTTAAGAATGTATCGATATTCAAAGTCAAAGCGATTTCAGTTTTATGCAAAATACTTGATAAAATGTGCTTATGATCATATCAATTTGTTTTTTTTAATATATCAGTAGATATGCTGCTTTGAAAAAGCCAGTTGAATATATTATTCTAAAACCATTTTTCTTCCGTTTGTACAGATTGTTCACTTGGTGTTAACGTAAGTCCTCTAGAAAACATACTGTCATGTAACCTCCAAGAATCATGTTCTGCCGTTGATTGTTGTGTGGATATTTATTTGCTGGAAAGATCTTTTAACGTGAAGTTCAACCTAGACCCTTGTACAAACACGTTAGAATTGAGCATCGAAAGGCTGCATTTTGATATTTCTCTCGATGATTACGTTCCTGGTACGTATTGAAAGACTTGTACAAATTACATTAAAAACACATTGCTGATTGAGCCCTAGAAAAAAATAGCACCACTTTTCATATGAACAGTATTTTATAATGTTATCAATATCTATTTACTGTATGTAGTATGCTTATCATATTTAGAAAGCAGCGGTGAACGTGAGGTACCTTGTCAAAATGTAGTCAAGGTGGTTTTTTGTTTTCCGTACATGATACTAAATCAGTATAACACTGCTACTGGTTAAAACTCGAAAAGATTGCCCAGCTCGTAAATGGCCAATGAATACTGTTTCCACACTTGGAACATGACACCCAAAATTACAAGCTAAAGATAAAAAAGATGATAGCATTTTTGAGTCGAAACGTGCCTTTTACACGCCTTTTCATAGTTGTTTATACCCAAGCAACTTGCTTACAATTGATTTTTCTAGGTAGAGACTACTATCTTTATTGATTATTTTACTTGTAACTTAATCTGTCTTTATTATTATTTCTTACACATTTAAAAAAAAACTTTAGTGGCGCTAACAGTCATCTAGATTTAGTATCATTTTCATTTAGTAGAATCAACGTTTAAACGTCAACAAACCTTTTATTTTTAATTATTTTTTAGAAACTTTTTTGTATAGAAAATTAAGAAATGGTTTTATACACGTACAGTCATGTACAGTCCACATATAACAAACGGCTTCGCCATTAGAGATTAATAAGTAGTTGCTACAATGAGTGAGCTACATATATTTTTTGTATATGAGATTTTCACCATGCGTGCCAGTTAATATATTCTTGTGTTTCTTTTAGGATCTCAGTCACGTTTCTGCTTATATGGAGTTATTTGTTTGGAGTAAGTTCATACAAATTTCTTTCTTTCACAAGTAATATAACATATTTCATTTAATATGCTTGTTGAACATTTTATAGGATAATATACTGAACAATATTTACATATATTAATATTTTACAATAAAATCTGTTTGTATGTTAAATGAATATTAACTAAATAGTTAATCATCATTTTCATTTAAAATAATTTAATGCCATCATTTGCAGCTTCTCGATAAAAGATCTGTTCTGGTCTAACATCTATATCGTCGATCTGAAGCTCAGCGTTTGTTTCGAATCATCATCATCTTGTCAGGTTGAAAGTCAAATATTTAAATCCACCGTTTTGCCGAAAAAGATATGTGACTGGGATAGTGCAAATTCAATACAAAGTAAGTTAAAATGTTGTTTATGCAGCGTGTTATGAAATAAACACGTCAGGTCATTTAATTTGTGCGCAACAATTCCTCTTGAATTAAAATTTATATAATTGATCCAGATATGGTACGGTTTTTAACAGCTTTACTAAGTGTTTATTTATCGGCACACAAAGAGGCATCCATGAACTTGTTGATGCGGTCTTTTATTGTAAATAACTTGTTCCTGACCACTTTGGGTTCGAATCCCACCGAAGACTGAAATAATGCACAAAACCTGAGGTCTTTCTCCACCAGTAAAGCTGAAAAAATCGCCATACGGCATTCACTTCCTCGGTATAACTAAAAATATCAATTCAATCAATCAAGCAATCAATAAATCAATTAGTCAGTCAGTCAGTCAGTCAATCAGTGTATATCGTCAAATGAACACATACTCCTCGGCAATGCGTTTTTCCTAGCAAAAATGTCACCAGTATGTAGATTAGATTTGTAAGAATTTTTTTTATCAAAACGTTATATTAGTTGCTGCGTTATCGTCCATGCTGCCGAAACCAAGTTGCAGACATGATAAAATGTGAATTTATCTTTTTCAGACTTCACATTGGCGAACTGGTTTTCTGAACGAGGTTTTGCAGACATGAGCACTCTTCCATCTTACATCGCTACTATACTTGCAAATGATATTGGACTGTCGATGTATCTCGGCGATAAGGAATGTGATAGACATTCAGCACCGTATCTGTCTAATTCATCCAGTTGTTCATCAGGTAGACATGAGCTAAATTACTATCCAAAATATTTCTTCGAGTGTCGAAAGTCAAAAACTGACAATTTTGACAGGTTATATGTTACGATACAAATACTTGTAAGCTTGGATAACGCTAGCCACACTTCGATGTTTATATAGCTTACCACCGTCTTTACTTGTCGATTTAAGCGTATATTACATGTCGTTATAAGAATTCACGCTATTGCACAAAATTATTACTGGCTTTGATCTAAACAAACCGTCAATTCGTGATTATATTATTATACATCATATAAACGTCATGATTGCTCTTTTCAAACATGCCGTATTATAAACTTGGATGCAACTTAAAATTTATAGACATATGATATTATCTTTTCCAGACTGCCCGTTGACATTAAAAAATCCAGTGACAATAAGTAACGACCTGTCTTGTCATATACCTTACTACTGCACAGCTGCTGACATCTGCGTTTACATTCCACTTATCAATCGGAATATCCATGCTTACCTTAGACTCCATTCATGTGACGCCTTACTAGAAGTTGGTATAGAACAGTTCACTTTTTCAGTGGGATTATTTGACTACGAATTCGGTAAATATGATTTCTTATTTTCAGTTTTAACAACTTTGGCATGTTTATTTGTTTGTTTTAGGCACTTCCTTGCATTTGAATAATATTTATTGATATTATAAGACATTTTTATTGACAATACTGTTGGATAAGAAGGACACATATTTCAATAGTTTCAAAGAATATCCCGGTGTAACCTAAATTCGGCGATATAAGAACAAATGTCAATGGCATTTTCAATTAACTACAGTAATCTATAATTATACTTGATATAATTTTACTGCAACTATTTTAAAGTTACTTGAAGTTGATTTCTAACATTGTAAGCGTTCAGCGGTTGCCAAATATAAACACATATGGCTGATGTAAAATCTTACTACGATCTGAAAACGTCACCTAAATTGGCGATTCTGATTGGTTGCAGTAATTTTTTAATTTTGGCGGGATTGTGACGTAGTATGTTGACCTAGATCGGCAGTAAAAATAGTAAGATAACAGACGGCGGCTGTTAAATTATTTTAAACAACAATATCAATCAAATAGAGGAAAGTATAGATAAACTTGAAATCGCATCAGGTATAACACACAATTTTCTCCATGTCATATACAATTTTTATTGTTTACCAGCCGTATCTCAATCTTTAGCGCAGAAAATCACTGAGTTGTAAAAATAGACCGTGGGACATAAACATGATTGACCTACACCTCTGAAATCTCGCGTAAATGACGAAAAACATCGCCGAATTTAGGAGAACGCCGAATTTGGGTCACAGTAGGATACATTTGCAAAAGTATACTGCAAACGTAAAGACAATTCTTCAAACACTATTATTGTGATAATAACTTATTAATGAAAATATTATTATATATAATATTTGATAAGATTAGCACTATTTTAAATCGTTTTATTGAAATTATTGATAAAAGTGCAGATGCCAATATATACCATATATAATTGTACGAGCCATATGACATAAAGATAAATTAACCCTATAAAAAAAATAATACTAGCTTTTTTGCGAATAATATGATAGGAAAATGGTCTGCAGTGATTGTTTAAACGCTTGTAATTATACTTTGATTGTATAATAATATTTGATCAAACAAAATTATTTTACTTTTAGGCAAAGAACGAGGAATAGTTCTCAAAGATGTTTTCATGCTGAAGTAAGTTAAAGGATATATGTCAACTAATGGTGTAACGGTATATAAATATCAAAGTCAAAGTAAAAATCCCTTAGTTTCAAGATGAAACATTACCTGTTTTATTATTTTCGTAAGACAAGGATCAAGGACTATCACCCGATACATTAATCCATTCATTGGACATTTTCTAAAGACGAATATTCAACACTTTTATCCTTTGTTAAGACGGATATTTAAGAACAGCAGTCGATACTTAGATTTTATTAGATTTTGAAACAGTTTTTGCTTTGTTTTTTTCCCCACCACATTGATACGTTATGACAGCAGATAAACGCCGCAAATAAAGGAAGTAGTTATATCATTTATGATAAGTGTCATTATTCATTTTCAGATTTCGCATTGATGATCTTACAACAAAGGGAGTTTATGTCGTAGATTTAGATTTTAACATTTGTTTCACGAACGCCAGTTGCGAACAATCATATGCAATCTTTGATCGAACAGTACTTCCGAAATTGCCATGCTCCTGGGATATGGGATTTAAAAACCAATGTTAGTAATTTACATAAAAAATGTTGTAATTTTAACAATTTTGACTTGATCTCAGCAAAACTATTTCAACGATTTGGATTTAATTTTCAGAATTATTGTAGTATGATTTTAAAAGCGCTTGATTTTAAAAGCGCTAAAGAATCTTTTTTTTAGATGTGTCTAGAAATTAAACACAAAAACTATTTTGTACGGCTATAACTCTAGTTTTTTAAACTTTCATAGCCAAAAGCATTTTATTGAGAATAGTACAATAAAAATTGTAATATCTATTGCTATCTTTTTATAGCATTTTCTCTAAACGAATGGTTGGTTGATCGTGGAATCACAAAAGGAGATGTGACAGATGTACAACGAGACCAACTGCTTGAAACACTTGGTGTGGCGCCGTATATAGAAGACAATAACTGCTATCTTTCTGAACCGCCCTTCTCGCCATCACATAACGGCTGGAATACCGGTATATGTCATTGGTCTTCGTGGTATTTGCAAATTTCCTTTTGAAATCCTGTCAGCAGAAACACAGATTGTTTAGTTGTTGCTGGAGAGAGGTTAAATTTAATGTAAAGTCTTGCTTTGGAAATATTTGAAACTGTTATTGCTTTTCAATTGGTTTCAAAGGGGAGGTTCTACTTTTGTCAATATTGATTTTCTTCTCGGCCCTTAGGCCCTATTCAGGACATGATTAGGTTGTCGCATCTGACACATGTACTAATTAGTCATGGAATCAATCTCAGAAGAAGTCTTAAACCAGTGAAAAGAATTCGCTTCTCAGCTGACCCAGCATAGATTTATCTAAATTAGCTAACATTTCAGATATTTCTTATAAAAGACGACGTTACAAGCATAGTCTTTATCTTTTTCAGAATGCCCATCAGAATTATCATTAACACCCCTGCCGTCAGGTATAGGATGCTATATTTCTGACATGTGTACAGCAATACGTTGTTGTCTTGAAGTTGATATCATTAAAACATCTGTTCAGTTTTATGTCACTGTTGACGGATGCGAAAAACAATTAACAGTTGGTATTGAACAAATGAACACTGTCAAGGACATCAGTGATTACAAATTTGGTAAGACAACAGCTGTAACTGTTTCATTCTCATTTGTTCCATGATTTAGTAGCGACCAAATAACATGCGTCGAAAACAAACACATCGTTTTCTCTGCCTTAAAAGGTAACCGCACTATATTTCTCAAGAAATTAATTTCCGAGATAAGTTTTCAGCAATCGTTCATGTTTTCATTAAATATTAGAATTATTTTCAATTTAAAGGCAAACTGCAACGCAATAATTGGTAACATAAAAACAAAGTAATAAAGTATAAGAATTATTTTACCAGCGAATGCTTTTTTGTATTATTTCTGAGACATATACAAATTTACATTGCAGGCTCGTGGGATCGTTTCTATTTGAACGGAGTCTACAAGATAGAGTAAGTATTGTACACTTTAGAGTAAAAGCAGATAGTTTTGTTCCTTATTGTATATTTAATTTACACAGTGTTTAAAACACTTTTTGTGAAATTTATAACAAAATTTTAAGAAAATTCTAAAGGTGACATCAACCAACTTCTATGATGTCAATAGCTAATACAATTTGCATGCTTCATTCTAAGAGATCGAGAGAAAAAGAAAAGAAATGAAAACTACTTTTATTTTCACAGCAGTTTAATGGTATCAAATAAATATAACTGCATGCGTCAAGTAGACTACTTGTGTTTAATACTTTTTTTTGAAAATTGAATACAATTACACAGTACATGTGTATTTATTTTTACGAATTATTAGACTTGGAACAACTTAAAAGATTTACAATTATTGCTATGGTTACAGATTATGAAAGTTGTAGAACGCATGATAGTTTGATCTAACGTCAATGTTTTCTCCATTTTTCATCTAGTTTCAAGATTGAAAACTTCCACGGTGGACGTAAATATGTCGTAGATATGAACGTAAGCGCTTGCTTTGAAAGTCATGGAAACTGTTCATATATGATTCCTGTTCTCAAACGAGCTCTTTTGCCTAAAGTAAAATGCAGTTGGCTGAATGGATTCAATAATGCAAGTACGTGCAAATTATTTCTGTATTCTGCATATGAATATTGCGATTGATAATAATGATGATTACAAATTTACTTTTCATGAATAAATTTCAGCTTCAATATAACATATCGTGAACTATGAAAACATTTCTGTTCATAGAATATATTCGTCATCTATCGGGCACAAGGAAAGTAATGGTTTCAAATATTATGATAATCCTTCAGCGGGGAAGAATTTACCTGCTACACACCCTTAAACCATAAACGTAATACATGAGAGTAACGTTGAAATGTTATTCTGTTCCTCACTTTCAGACTTTTCTCTTGGTACTTGGAAACTCGAGAATGGTGTTAACAAAGGCTCTGCACTTTCACAGACACAATTTGACGTACTTGCTAATACCCTCGGAATAAGTCAATACCTTAAAGATACTGAATGTGCATTGTCGTCTGCAAGGCCTAAAGATGGCTGGAACAACGGTAAGTCAAACGAAATTTTTGATTAATCTACTTGTCCTTCAACAATTGAAGAAACTACTTTCATTTTATCATTTTAAAAGAGCTTTAATAAAAACATAACGTGCATTTTATGTAAAATACATCAAAATTCTTTTCTGCCTTTTAGCGTGCCCTTTGAAAGTGAACTTACCTGCATTGTCAAACAACGCAGAGTGCTCGATTGACTCATCTTGTTTGAATGTCAATTGCTGCGTGTTTGTTGGTGAGCTGAATCGAAAGTTTAGCTTCTCTCTTCAAGTGGACGACTGTAATTATCAGATATCAGCTAGCATCGAAAACTTGGTGATGGAGAGGAAATTGTCCGTCTTCGAGTTTGGTAATTTCATGCTTTATTTATTCAACACAATTGAAGTATTCTAAATTGTAATATCGATTTTTCAACATAAAAAATACAGTATATTTATATTTTTGACAAAATTAAGCACAATTGGAATATACACCTAAAATGTCTGTGTCTCACAAATTTGTTTTTTTATTATTTGTAGGTAAAAAGATCGTGTTTGACATGGATGGATTAATAGCGCTACAGTAAGGAAATTGTATTTGTTACTTTGCATACCAATCCATGCAACTAGTCGTTTGTAACGTTGTTTTTCATTGGATAAATTGGATAATCGTGACGTTTAATATATATTTTTATATACACGGCTGCTTTCAATTCACGAAGATATTTAATTTTATTCTTTAAAAAAGGAAAAATTATTGTATTATGAGTTCGTTATAAGATTCTTGGCAGGTTATATGGCCCAATATAAACGTTTTTTTTTTTAAAAAAATATAAAAAATGGCGACCTGGTTACAAATACAAACAACCATTTATACAGAGTCATATAATCTGTCAAGAAATCTTTGTAACTGATTATATGCACGGTTGCGGTAAACTGATGTTTTCTTTTTATTTTTCCTGAAAAAAAAAAGATAAGTATGCAGTACTTAAAAGACAAATGATATGATCGGGAACACACTATTGTTTGCGATATTAAAGGCTCGAGTATTATATTATATTATACGTAAGTTTACAACAGTTTATACTGGTTCATATCTTCCCTAGTAAATCTTTGTAGCTGATATGATAATAAAAAAATGCAAAGCTTTGTCAAATCATTTGTTATCACAATCACAGGTTCATGGTTGTTAATCTAGAGTACAAGAACAAATATATGTTAGATTTAGCTGTAGATGTACAATTGGAAGCACACAAACCAGCTGCAATGTCAGTGAACGTCCTTGACGATGTGATCGTACCACGATTGCCGTGTCAGGTCAATTCCGGGTTTATAGCCACAGGTATTGTATCATTTGTTTCCAAACAATACATATACCGTTCGGTATATTCATCATTTTCTGTCACACAAAAGCGTCAAAATGGTTTAGAACAATATAACTTACTTCTAAAAAAAAAAAAAATGTCCGCGCAGAAATTGCCAATTTTTGCAGATCTTATACTATGTAGTACATGTTAAAGATCGAAAACTTTAATTTTTAATAATACTATCGGTAGCACCAAAGATAGACTAACTATTTGAGCGCTCGAGGAGATCATGTAATAACAAACTTATATTGCCTGTATAGAGCCATGATAACATAAACATCAACACAATCGCATTTTAAGTGCTTTGATACAAAGTCTTGACATATGTAATGATCGTTAATGCAATGTGCTTATGTTTTAAGGTTCTAACTGTTCTCACAAATACCTTAAAGACAATATATCTCCAATGTACATGTAACATCACAATAAGTTATGTAATCATATTTACATACACCTTTTTATTCAGATTTCTCGCTGGATAAATGGATGGATGCTGGCAATGTCAGTGTCATTGACGAATACCAAGCTGTTCAACTGCTAGAAGACGTTGCAATTGCACCTTTCATGCTCTCCAACGAATGCAAAATGCACAGTGACTCGAAAATAGGTATTATTAATTATTATTATTATTATTATATAGAAATGTTCTTGTTCTTGAAAGAAACTTTCTACTTGTTTTTACGTGGAGTAAGATGTCTTTTTGGCGGGGAGGGTGCATTTCATCATAATTTTGTTAATAAGGTCAAAATTAAAATTAAATTGTTGAACTTATTGTCAAAGGAGTTATTGACTATATATTTAAGAAGCCGTTCATTAATGAGTCACGCCAGTTTTCCTTACCATGTATAGCTTAAATCAAACGAATCAATGTATTGGTAGGATAAGAATTTCGGATAGCATGCCTAAATCTCTTAACATCGAAAAAAAAAACGAATTTATTCGATTATGACGTCTTCGATATTCCAATGCAGTATTCATTCCCTTTGTTTCTATTCCTCATTTCTCCAATAAGTCTGCTTTGTAAGGATTTGTAAGAGATACATTCATGTATATTTGTATCATGTTTACTTTATAAATTATTTGCATTGATTGTTTCTATTTCACGACATCTGAAATAATATTGATTTTTTTTCAGATTCCACCCATTGCCCTTTAAATATTGATGATTTACATGTGTACGGTCCAGCAACATGCTCACTGACAGAACTTTGTTCCGGTATTTTCTGCTGTTTAAGATCTCCTGAAATACCGGTGAATTTTCAAATCGAGGTTCAAATAGATGCCTGTAGGGAAGAAATAATCGTAGGCTTGGAAAAATTGAAACACTTAATTCCGTTCAGAAATTTTACTTGGGGTAAGAGTTATTTAAAAATAAGCTTAATCAAACATGCCATTACGAAGTTGTTGTTTTGTTTTTCTTGTGGTACTCCGCGGTTATTTTGTTAGTTTTCCATTTCGACAATATTTGATATAACACTACATACAATGTAAAACGACTGTTTTTTCTTGATCAATAAATTGATTAACTAGATACTGTCATGATGATCGAACTTTTACACAGTCAAAGATACGGATTAGAGCAAAAGTATGAAAAGGTATAAGAAACCGTAATGGCTGAAATAAATTTTTATACAATAGTAGAATTGTACGCCTTGATATCATGAACTGTGTAAAGAGCGTAAGGTGAGTGTTATAAAGCGTCATGCGTCACATTAAAATGATCATCGCATTGAAAATTTATACGCTGAAATATAATATTGTTTGTATTAATGCGTAATTTAATGCCTGAGTTATTAGTTGGAATACATACACGTATATGCAATAAACATGCGTTTTTCGGACAGATGTATACATTACGCTATGAATTGTTTTCAATTACAGGCGAAATGCAAACCTTTAGTTTGTATGGCGTGATTAAGATTGAGTAAGTAATTTTACTGACTTTTCTATTAATTAAATACATTCTAATTATATCATAAACATTTAATGGGAGAAATATAATACATTTACTATTATAGTATGATAAGTCGTCATATCATTTTTTTGGAGATGGTGGTGGGGAGGAGGGTGTTTGAATTTATGTCACAACGGCCCCTTAGAATACTACTTTCCAGCATCATTGAAGGAAGAAGCCTCAAGTGCACCTCCATGCATTTTTTCGGGAGTAAACGGACACCTGGGATTTGTACCAACAGTCAGCTACCGTAACCATAGGACCACGGACGCTAACAAAATCAAATAATATTCGTCGCAAGACAATAAAGTAATATTATTTCCCAAATTAAAAATAACCAGAAATGAAATTAGATACTCGATAAACTAATTGACTAAATAGTTCATTGTAAAAATATTATTTTAGGTAAGTAGTCTCATTAACAATTAACATTTTTAATGATACATTGCATGAACGAATATCAAATATTCCAGGTTGGAAATATCGGAGCCAGTTAAATCACAGGTATACAGTGTAAATCTAAATGCAAGCATATGTCTTGGCGAAAATGAGACCTGCAGTACAGAAGTTCAAATTCTTAGAGAGAAATACCTAACTGCCTTGCCTTGTGATTGGTCAGCAGGATTTTTGGACGAAAGTAATTTTCTTATATTTTTCATTTACATTTATGAAGTCGTCAATGATTCAAATGTATTACATTGAAAATGTCATTGATACGCGGATGTCAAAGACCGCGGTTCCGGGCTTTGGTCTGCCGGGCTGTAAACAACACCTGTAATTTAAAAGGAAACTGAATCAGATATAAAAACAAGGATACTACGCATAAAATCCGAGGGAAGCCGCAGTCCCGTCGGGGCTGTAGCGCTCTTAGATTGCATTTGTGACGTATACAAGTTAATTTGAAATCACATTAAAATAAAATAAACATATCAAAGTCTAAAAAGTTTGAGAAAAATCCTTGTAAGTAGGGCGCCGCCATTATAGACGGGTTATATATTTAAGGTATAGATTGCAGGACGCTTTTGAAAAAAAAAAATATAGTAGTATGATGTAGAAAACCAGAAAACAAATATAATTATTAATACCGATAATTAACAAAAAAAATTTTAATCCTTTTTTATGAATCATGTTAGAAATAATGTTCAAACAACCACTCTGACTAGAGATTAACGATGGTGGACAAGATATTCGGAATCACTCGGAACACTTCGCTGATAGGTTGAACACCACCAATTCAATAATACATTGTATAGATAGAATGGTACTAAATGAGTGCATTTACTTACAATTTACTAAGTCATTGAAAGATCTACATGTTTTTATATGTTGAAAATTTATGCTTGTAATTAAATCAAAACAGCTTTCGCGTCGTATGCAGTGCCTAATTTCATATTAAAACATATATACAATAAATTTTTCAGTGTCATTTGTCGACTACGGGCGCAACCATTTCGAAGGAAATCTCAGACATAAAATCAAACGATATTCTGTGACATTTTTCTTAATTTTTTGCGGTAAAATAGAAGAAAAAAATCCAAAAAATAAAAATATGACATAATTTGTCAATAAGATTATAAGTCCAATGAATTACAACTTTTCTACAATTCCGGTATAACTTATTGATAATCGGCCAGGTATTCCGAAGGATCATTTATAAAACTTTCGTATAGGAATAATTATCGAGTTTTTCCGACTCAAAACGGAAACGTAGCATGGAAACACCGAAGGGCGTGTAAAACACGAACAGTTTAAAAAATAAAATAAAATGAACACAATAATGCTGTTTACCAAGTCCTTGATTTTCAATAAAGTTTTAGCTGACTTCCCGGTTAATTCATAGGCTTAAGCTTCTTTCATGTTATATATTTCAAAGATTCTAAATTCCACCCATCACAATTGCATGTGTATTTGGCAAATTTCTTTTTGTACGCATTTAGTAGATTTAGTAGATATATTGAAAGCGTTCAGATGAAAAGATAATCATTGTCGCTCAAAGCAGGTACGTATGTTAATATACGTACCTGCTCAAAGACATATCAACGCTTATCTAATTCGTATAAGATACGGAAAGAGACGAAATAAACCGAATATTTACGAGCCAATGATGTACGCAATATTTCAAATTAATTCTTTAAAATATGATAAGGATAATTGTATATGAAAATCACTTAAAAGGCAGAAAGTTTTTCGCATTCAGCGATCTTTACCGCTCAGTCAAGGTGATCACATCCGTCATGTATATTGTAATACAAAATGTCATATATTGCAATTTTCTTAAGATAGTTAAATGCTTTGTTAAAGGTTTCAAATATGATGAATGGAGAAACAAATCTCATTACGACAGCAAGCAGCTCCCAGAAACCGGTGTTGAATTTTACTTGTCAAAAATTGGCGTCGAACCTTACTTGAAGACTACACAATGTGACACTACGGCGCTTCCATATATACCAACATCTGCTGTCGGCTGGACATCAGGTATCCAAATGTTTTCGCAACAAAGCTTAATGTTTTTCTTTCAAAAGTTTATTGTAGACCAATCGTTGCGCAAATAAAGACTGTTTTGCGAGTACTGAACCATTTTACATTCCAGTTCGAATGTTTTTTGAAAACTTTGCTTCCACTTTACAGTTACAGCTGCATTTTGTTAAATGAGCACTGGTTTGAATATCACATAAACATCATGTAGTGGAGTTTGTTGTTGTCGTTTTATGTATTTTTAAAGAAAAAAATCACTGTGAATAAGTGAATAAGAAATGCAATTTGTTGATACTACAAAATTTATTAATTTATTCTAAAACGTCTGATACAAAAATCACGTGGTGAAATAGTACGCATGCGCGATTGTAAGGCGTGAAATGTATAGTCTGTTTCATAAATATATAACAGACTTAGATGAAGAAATTGTAATATTTGTACATTTGAACGCTACTAACATTTTTGAATAAGTAATATATACATATAACCCTTTTATTTTATAGATTGTCGAAGCAATGTTAGCTTTCAAACGTTACCTGGTCACACAAGATGTTTTATGGATGGTACGTGCTCCGGATTTCAGTGTTGTTCCTATGTTGACATGATACAACGATCATTTGATATAACATTTAAACTGGATCCCTGCAGTCAAACATTAACAATCGGAATTGAACGCATTTTGAAGCATATCTCTTTGACAAAGTTTGAGTTTGGTGCACACAACAAGTTTTATTTGAATGGCTTTGTTAGACTGGAGTAAGTTATTTACCTTTAATAAAATTGAAAGGTATTCATATTGCATGACTAACACATTAAATGATAAAAACATTAAATAATAATTATGCTGAGCAATAATAGACATTGCTCTAAATTACTGTCAATGTTCCATGTCATGTTTCTTAAACATATAATATTAATTAGTTTTTGGTAAGTGTTCGCTCTTTGAATAATTTGAAGGAATTCAACTGAGTGAACCGATTATAAATATTTCCATAGTTTTACCAAAGATAAACGTTAGGTAACGTGGTATGTTAACACTTTTAAAAGAAAAATATATGTAGATACCAAGTATGCCACTCAATACCATATATTCATTCAAAATATAATTATTACCAGATATTACAACGTTAACGTATTGGCGAGTAAATCGTTGGCGAGTAAATCGGATGAAATTAAATATACAGTTTTGAATATATAATACACGTTACGGAAGAATACAATACAAATTTTGTTTCAGCTTTTTTATCAAAGACCTTCCAATTCAACGGGTATATGTTGCAAGTGTCAACCTAAGTATTTGTTTGGACCAAGAAAACTGTCAGACCGAAATTGATATTCTCCGAAATGACATTCTACCACAGTCAATATGTGAAATGAATCCCGGATACACAGATAAAGGTACGGTCGAAAAATTAAAAGGTTTCTAATTTGAACGCACTTTTGTGAACGGAAATTGATATTCTCGATTTCGAAATACTTAAGAAGCAGCAAAGGAGTTGTGATGCAGTGGTAGGATGCGCGCTTGGGAATCGAGAGGTGACGGGCTCGAGTCTTTTTAGGACACTAGCTAATTTTTTAGATAGACTTTTATTCTTTATAGCTAAACTTCACCCACCACTGGCAGGTACAATTGGTAGCCTAAGATTAATGTATAATTCTGCAGAACCCCCTGTTGAAACCGGTAGATGCAGTTTAATAGCCTTATGTCTAGGGGTAAATTTTTTGAGTCGATAGGCATATCAAGCGAATAAAATGTATTAAATCTTGAACTCGCAAATGCTGTTTTTTCAAGCTTTTCCCCTGTACAAACAAACGTATACAGTTAAAGTTTCACAATACAACCCGTTCACAATATATTAGTCAACCAGTTTTGAAGTTGTACCTTTAAAAGTTTATACTCTTGAAATGGCTAGGAAACTCTATGTTCTTAATTCCGGAGTTAATTTATTTACACAATTAATTTAATTACATGCTTTTAACTGTTCATTACAATTTGACCAAAAAACGCCTTGTAAATTGCATTGTATTAAAGAATTATGAGTTCGGGAGAGATATTGCATGCTTATCTACTTAATTTCAGATTTTTCACTGACCCAGTGGAAGGAAGATAGAAACATATCTATATTTGGCACCCTTGATCACGTGGAAGAGATAGAACTGATGACAGATTTGGGTGTTTACCCATACATGATGGAAACGGAGTGTGCAGTAATAAACAGCAATATATCTCAAGGTATGACTGCAAATAAGAAAAAAACAACAGGAAGAGGGAACGAAACGCAATATAAATATGAATATAAAATGAAAATTGTAAATTTTTAATGTGAAAATTCAATGAAAAGAAAAACTTCTGTTACTCATTTTATCATACTATGTACTGAATAAGTAGTCTCGTACTTTTTATAATTATTATCTTAATCATAATAATCTTCATCATCATCATCATCATCATCATTTTTATTATTATGTAAGCTAGTCTAATATGTAATTTACACAAACATTTTGTGATGAATTAGATTTCTTATTTTTATCATCAGCATCATAGTCATTATCGATATATCATCATCATCGACTTTTATGTTATGTAAGCTAGTCGAATATATTATTTGCACAAACATTTGCATAACATAGCATTACATAACATAACATAATATATTAAAACGTGACATAACAACATAACATTATGTTAAAACATAACATATGTGTACTTAAGTAAATGTTTCTCATTTTTATATCATGAAGCAGAATTTCTAAAGATCATTGAAATGTCTTTTTGAATATATTCTCAGTCTGTGGCGCTGTCCCGACTTTCCCGCCAGAATGCAGTTTATCTGACACGTGTTCGAGAATATCGTGCTGCATACAGTCTGACACTTTACAACGGCGAATTTTCTACGAGCTGGATTATGACAGATGCAATCATTTGATAAATATCACAATTGAGACATTCAGCAGGACATTGTCACTCTATGATTTTGAATACGGTACGGAGTTGTTTATAATGGTTCGACTCAGTTTTAGTAAAGTTTTTACATGCCTCCAGATGAGTCAAAATATTTCAATAAATTCAAACTTGAGAAAAAATGTACTAAAGTTTCAGGAAATGTAAATACGATTCAATATTCAATTAATATTTTACATGTTTTGTGCTATTAATGACTGATTTTTCAGTATTTACATCTTTAATACTTTATTTCTACTGCGTTACTAACGCCGTACGGGCTATCAATGCATATTTTGACCATTTTTTTGGCAATTTACGTGGGTTGTAAGTGGCATTGAAAATGTGTAAATTGCTTCCGTTTGGTAACTTCACAATATTAAACATTCATTTTCATTTTTTTTCACGAAAATTACCATGAATCTGGAGGCTTGCTGCTTTAAATATAGACGCTTGTTTTTTAATACTTTCATATTTTCTACGAATCAATTGCTACAAATAATACACATTTCCAATATTTACGTATCGATTGAAATGTAGAAAGTAATAGCTACAATGTAGCTTAGTAAACTATTATTTATGCATTTAAAACATTTACATAAAATTAATAAATATATTTGATGTCATATTTCATTTGTAGGGAAAGAAATGACGATTTCATTATATTCAGCGTTAAAGGTGAAGTAAGTACTAAAATGTATTACTTTGTTTGATCGTAAGAACACATTTAAATGCTTATCATATTCTAACTAAATATGTATTGACCGTTTCATAAAAATAGCTGAAAGGCTGTCATCCATGACTGAGAATCGAACCAAGTCCTTTCACACCTTAAACGAAAATTCGACAATTCTATAAAAGCTCGCTTAAAAGAAGGTATTAGAAAAGAAGTGATATTATAGCTGGAGCTCAATAAATAATTAAATAAATAAATAAATAAATAAATAAATAAATAAATAAATAAATAATCTGCTTGAACTTCTGTCAATGTAATAAACATTTTTTTTATTTTAATAGAAACAAAAAGATGGCATTTTTATAATATAATCTTAAAATATTGAAACATTTCCGCCAAGCATTCATATAAGCTTATAAAATGATATGTATTAAGACTTTCTTTCTTTCTATTTGAAAGACCCTGATTAAGAGAAAAGTAATGAAAAAAAGAAAACTACCAGTCTCTAAATTCCTCTCCTCCAAATTATTTACATGTAATTTTAAACTTATAAATTATTAATCATACTAAAATGTAAATTCTTTCAACGTAATTTTAGGGGTTAAAAGCTCCAAGCAACAACACGCCCTTTCAATTTTATACCCCCAAAAACAAAGTTTGGGGGGGTATATAGGAGTCACTTGGTGGTCGGTCGGTCGGTCGGTCGGTCGGTTGGTCGGTCGGGCGGTCGGTCGGTCGGTCGGTCCAGACGTCCGTTGCATTTTCCTTGTCCGGAGCATAACTTGAAAACTAATGGTTGGAATTCAATATAACTACATACAATGGTCAAGCACATTGAGAGGAAGTGCAGTGCACAAGAACCATAACTCTATCTTGACTAATTACAGAGTTATTGCCCTTGGTTACTTTTCCTTGTCCGGGGCATAACTTGAAAACTACTGGTTGGAATTCAAAACAACTTCATACAATAGTCAAACACAATAAGGGGAAGTGCAGTGCACTAGAACCATAACTCTATCTAAAGTAATTACAGAGTTATTGCCCTTTGTTGCTTTTCCATTGCTTTTTTTTTGTCCGTTGCATTTTCCTTGTCCGGAGCATAACTTGAAGACTAATGTTTGGAATTCAATATAACTACATACAATGGTCAAGCACATTGAGAGGAAGTGCAGTGCGTAAGAAACATAACTCTATCTTGACTAATTACAGAGTTATTGCCCTTTGTTACTTTTCCTTGTCCGTGGCATAACTTGAAAACTACTGGTTGGAATTCAAAACAACTTCATACAATTGTCAAACACAATAAGGGAAAGTGCAGTGCACAAGAACCATAACTCTATCTAAAGTAATTACAGAGTTATTGCCCTTTGTTGCTTTTCCATTGCCTTCTTTTTTTTGTCCGGACCATAATTTGAAGACTAATGGTTGGAATTAAATATAACTACATACAATGGTCAAGCACATTGAGAGGAAGTGCAGTGCATAAGAACCATAACTCTATCTAAAGTAATTACAGAGTTATTGCCCTTTATTACTTTTCCATTGCTTTCTTTTGTCCGGACCATAACTTGAAGACTAATTGTTGCAATTCATTATAACTTCATACAATGGTCCAACACATTGAGAGGAAGTGCAGTGCACAAGAACCATAACTCCATTTTGACTTATTACAGAGTTACTGCCCTTTGTTTCTTTTCCTTGTCCAGAGCATGACTTTAAAACTACTGGTTGGAATTCAAAACAACTTCATACAATGGCCAAGCACAATAAGGGGAAGTGCAGTGCACAAGAACCATAACTCCATCTTGACTAATTACAGAGTTATTGCCCTTTGTTAATTTTTCATTGCTTTCTTTTGTCCGGACCATAACTTGAAGACTTATTGTTGGAATTCATTATAACTTCATACAATGGTCAAGCACATTGAGAGGAAGTGCAGTGCACAAGAACCATAACTCCATCTTGACTAATTACAGAGTTACTGCCCTTTGTTACTTTTCCTTGTCCAGAGCATGACTTGAAAACTACTGTTTGGAATTCAAAACAACTTCATACAATGGTCAAGCACAATAAGGGGAAGTGCAGTGCACAAGAACCATAACTCCATCTTGACTAATTACAGAGTTATTGCCCTTTGTTACTTTTCCTTGTCCAGAGCATAACTTGAAAACTACTGTTTGGAATTCAGTACAACTTCATACAGTTGTCAAGGACATTAAAAGGAAGTGCAGTGCACAAGAGCCATAACTCCATTTTGACAAAATACAGAGTTACTGCCCTTTGATACTTTTTCTTGTCCGGAGCATAACTTAAAACGTACTGGTTGGAATTCAAAAACAACTTCATACAATGGTCAAGCACAATAAGAGGAAGTGCAGTGCACAAGAACTATAACTCTATCTTCAGTATTTTATAGAGTTATTGCCCTTTGTTCTTTTTCTTTGTCTTTCTGGACTTATTACAGAGTAATTCAATTAAACTTCATCAATGGCCAACCACATTGAAAGGAAATGCAACATACATGAACCACAATTATCTTTAATTGCCCACAACCATAACTCTATGTTTCAATTCTATTACAAGGTATTCTGTTACTAGTAACATCCTCATTTCCGAAGCAGACTTGTGGGGGTATTAATCACATTTAGTGATAGTTCTAGTTTATTCAGATAAAGTCATAACGCCAGTAGGGTCAAATCACGTATCTTAATTACAATAATTGTATTATAAATCCGTGGTCAAATTAACTTCTCGATTTATGAAAAGATAAGGAAAAAAGCAACAACATAGTGTCTGATTGTGGGCCCGTGAAATAAGGTAATAAATAAACCCCCCGCAAAAAAATGTGTTAAAATTCAGCCGACACAAATTTCGATACATTAAACTTTACAATCAGTTTAAATCTCTTATAAAAACAAATACTGTCGTTTGCCCGATATTATGCATGACAGATGTCAAAAGATGATTATGTGAAATAGACATCATTTTATGTTATTTTCAACACGTGGTCAAACATAATTTAAATACCAGCTGTTTATATACATATTAATTATGCTGCAGAATCATTACACTGAATAATTCACTTCTTTACTGAACGAAAGAAGAAAAAATAAACAACAGATGGTTAATCTTTTTATGTATTGTGATTGTTCTCTGTAAATGACTTGCCATGCATGTATTGCCGTTTTTACAAATGTTAATTGTTTATATACCTTATGTTTGTATCATGTATCACTGAGAGAAATAAAGAATTTGAAATTTGACAAATCAGTGATATGTATGTCCTATAGTCATAATCGTTTGTTTCTTTCGTTGTTGATTTTTCTTCCTCCGTTAAGCTACGCGGACTGCAGTCTATTTGTGTTACACCGAGACTATCATAAAATATTACATCACATTACACAATCAATTAGGGACCATGCTGCGCGTTATCTCGCCTTATCTCGGATATTTCACCTCGTTGTAATTGCGTGTCATAAATCATTACGTCACACCGCATGATTTTACACCCTCAGGCGATTAAAGACAGTTTTAATAAAGAATTACCGTTCAGATATGTTTAAATATTAATCCTGTATAACTTAAAGAAGTGGCGTGGTCTTAGATCACTTTAAGCGTTTATTGAAGGAAACTGCTTGTATTTAAGTACTTTAGTATAGGTTATGATATTTTATATTCATAAGTAGTTTGATGACCGTTTTATAATAGTTTAATTTTACGCAACGAATAATAATAATAATAATAATAATAATAATAATAATAATAATAATAATAATAATAATAATAATAATGATAAATGATAATGATAATGATAATGATAATGACAATAATAATGATGACATATGATGATAGAGGTGTCTGTGATGATAAAATAAAAACAGCAATTATAATGATAATGTATCATGAACAATATTGATAACAGGGGAGAACGCATAGACATAACCATACAGCCAGATACACGCAAATAACACATTTCGGGTTGAAAAAATGGTCATTTACTGCGTTCATTAAAAAAAGTATTTCCGTTCGAAACTTTCGTATTTACAACATTTTTTTTGTTAATAAAATGCTCCGGTATTTTAAACTGGATACAAATGTCGGATTCGTGCGTAACGCACATTTATATGCAACAAAATTTAGTGGTAGATTATAATTATATTTAAGTACATAACTATACACTTTCTTTAACAGATTTATGGTTGACTACCTGGTGATGAGTCAGTCACACGTTATTTCTCTCAATATCAGTCAATGTTTTGAATCCAATGAACCATGTACGGAAGTTGTCGAAGTTCTCAAAGAACAGAAATTTTCATCCGAGGATTGCCCTATCAATAAAAACTATAGGAATGACGGTACGAAAACATTTAAGTCTTTTTCTTGAAAACATACACATCGTTTCAATAAAATTATCTCCATTATCAACCTTCTCTTTCTGAAATCAGAAAAAAAATCCGTCGGAAAATTCAGAACGGAATAATAACCTTATAATTAACCTTGATATTTATTTCTAAATTCATAAACCGGACCGTTATTTCTTATTTTTTAATTTTCATTTGCCGCAAATTTCCTACATCTTTTCTATTTTTCAAACTTCTAATGATCATTAATTATGTAATTGTTCCGAAATGGATTTGAATTTATTTTTCTCCGGATATCATCGATTGAAAAAAATTAGTTATGATTTTAAAAACTATGTAAGACCGATTCTACAGTAGAATCGCCTGTACCAAATTTTTAATTTTGCATGTTTGACTCGTACAGAATTTTCATTGACGGAATGGGCATCACATAGGAATATGAACGCCACTAAACTACCGGCATATGCAAGAAAGGTCCTTCATCGCGACCTTGGAATAAGTCAGTTCTTGAAGGACAGTGAGTGCGTTGTGATGCCGTACAATGATTCGTATGGTTGGAATTCAGGTAATTCGCTTATTCCTTTTATTTCTTCAATAAATATGTATCGTTCAGCAGGAAAATATTCTTGAATCTTCCAATTCAGTTCTTAGGAAGAATGTTGTGCAGTTGCATGCTCCGATCTGCAAAACTATCATTTAATGACCGTTAAAGAAATACTTTCATTTAAATGAGAGCCCCGGAAGATTTTTATTTCCAAAGCATGTTTCAGAGAATAAGCACTTATCTATAAAACATAGCATGTGTCCGTTGCTACATAAGTAACACGGACATATACTTATCATTATGGAACAAGCAAACATAAATAAATGAAAGTAAATGAATATATAAATGGATAAATAAATAAATAAATAAAGTAGCATAAGTCGTATATACATATGGTTTTTGTTAATCTAAGAACGTTTCTTTTTTTTCCCCTCAAATGAAGGAATGCGCTGTCTTATAATTGTTTTAGAAATATCTGTTACATGTTATTTTCTTTCTAATTCATACACTTTTGTATTAACTGAGCTTTTTTTTGTTGTGATTAACTATGGATTGTGTAGTGTTTACAAGGCGTATTATTTAAGCTTATTATTTCAGTCGGAGTATATGATTAATAAATCAGATTCATTTGGGTGATATATCCAAGTAATACAAATGCCTTTGAGGATATGCTGTTTTTGAGCACTTTATTTATTATTTTGCATTTCAGATTGTGCTGATAACGTAACTTTACTCAACATAACTGACGCGGACACGCGAATATCGTGCAATTTACAAACATCTTGTTCAGATCTGAATTGTTGCTTCCATGTCGACGAAATTCAACATACATTTGAGTACCAATTTCTCTTTGATCCTTGTGAGCTCAAGCTTACTGTCGGAATAGAAAAACTTCATCACGAAATACCACTGAAGGATGCAGCGACTGGTAAATTCTTACTCCCTAACAGACGTTTAACGATAACTTAACACATCTTTTATATTATTTTATTTTGTAAATAAATTTCATGTTAAGCCCATATTAATTAAGATTTATATATGCATTGATTACATTTGCGAAGCTCTTGTTGCGTTTGTGGCAAAAACTGCGATATATTACGTTCCGGGCGATCTGGACTACGTTTTGGGCGTTTCTAAGATTTATTTTATAAATGCTTGCGTTCTTTGAACGATGTTGTTCGATCACGAGTCTCAATAGTTAGTTTTTTATCTTTGTTTACGGGAATGAGTTATATACATATAGTAATTTCTATATAATATGAAATGTCATATCTTTGATTACAGGTCATTACTTAACGATGAGTCTGAATGGCTTCCTACGCGTGGAGTAAGTAATCCATTTTTATTCCAGCCCAATATGCTCCACTAGTTTGTTTTACAAATATTTGTCATTTACTATATAGCTATGTGAACAAATGATTTATCAAGTGAATTTTAAACTTTTCCACGTTTTTAGCAGTGGCTGTAGTTTGAATTCCATGCACTTAATTTGAATTTGTCAATAAATTAATAAATGGAAATGAGAGAAGAAAGGTATTTGCGAAACAAATATATACACTGTTGTATCCGAAATATTTGTTGTATGTATACTAGCACAGTTTTATTTCATACTACAGGTTTATGATTGACGACAGCACGGAAAATGAGTACACGATCAACTTACGATTCAAAGTGTGTATGGAAAGTGCATTCGAATGCAACCGTGACATTGAAATACTGCGAAATCACGTTGTTAAACGAAAATGTGAATTTAACCCAACCTTTCAAATACCAGGTAATTTATCAGTTAATGGACACCTACAAATTTAAAATTAGTAATGGTAATTGACCTGAAATGTTATAAACAGTGGCAAACGTCTACTTAATGTTTAATCCAGTTTAAGGTTGATGCCCGCTTTTGTCTGAATTCTTGTTCATTCGGGCGTGTAAAGATTATCTCTTGCTTCAATGTTGGGAAGTTTCAATATATTTATCTAAAAGGCGTATGCTAAAGTTACATATAGACATTTAGCAGATTGAAAACTGTATAATACTATCTATGTAAACGTTACATGTTCATAGAATGTTATATCAGAAACATTTAAAGTGAAAAGAAAAAAGTGAGTTACCGACCACGTTTTCGAATTATCTGCCTTGAAATAGTCTATTACCTCTTGATATCCCTGGGGGAATCCCCGGTTTCAGACCCAACCCCTTTTAAAATATTTATTGTTTTTTGTTCAAAAAAAACCTTGACGCAAAGCTGAAAAGGGAATTATGCCCATACCTTAATTTTGTTTTTTATAGGTGGTTTGATGTTTACTGGAAACGCTTGAAAACTTTTAAAACCCCGTTTTAAGTCTACCCTCAAAATAAGGGTTAATTTTCGATTTCCCCTTTTTTAGGTGAAGGTGACCCCCGTGCCTATCCCTGCAAATTTTTGCAGGCCAGCGCAAAATTTATATAGCCACCCACGTTTTTTAAGTGGGAAATAGTTCCACCATGGAAATACAATGTCCCTGGCGGGATTCGAACCAACAGCGGTGAGGGCAAGATATTTGAAGTCAAATGCCTTAAACACTTTACCATGGACACCTACTAGTTTAAAGTATGATCATGAAAATTTCCGAAAGTACTAGCACTGAAATAACTCTACACGGTATTAGAAAGTCTTGAATAAAATAAATCAAGTTTACATTCATTATTGCTTTTTACCTCAATAGCAATTTACACCTAGAAATGCCTAATTATTTTGGGACGGTTTTACAGGCTTCTCATTAGATAGCTGGAAATCTAACAATTCATTGCCACCAGATGCTGTACTGACAGACAAACAAAAAGATGAACTGATGCAACAAATGGGCTTGAATCATTTTCTTCTGAAGGAACCGTGTGAAATAAAAGCTAATGTAACAGGAGGTATTTTACATTTCATATTATGAATTATTAGATTATCTAAAAGCTGCACGCTTCCAGATGGTAGCGTCGAATGCGAAAATCAATTTATATTGACCAGTTAATTCAAGACAGAAAGTCGACAAAATCAACATTAAAACGTGTAGAACTCAAGGCCCTATAAAAATATAAAATATAATTTATTCAACATAGTTACGTATCAAAACAACCCAAATGAAAGAATTCCTAAATTATTTTTGAAGAAGGTATATCTCAACGCCACCCTACCCAAACGCCACCCCTCCCCCCCCAAACGCCACCCCCAACAAAAAAAAAAACAAACAAAAAAAACAAACAAAAACAACAAAAAAAAAAAAACCAAACAAAATTGTCTGTTTAGGGAGATCAGGTGTCAAAATATGCACGTTTAACGTTTTCAGACGATATTTCTATTTCAATAACGTACTTTATTTTTATGTAAAGGGACTTTGAAGTATTAGTACAATTGTATATTTCTATAGATTATCTTTTTGAGGCGTGCTGCTTTTTTACAACATTGCAGCGAAAGTGTTGTGTTTTAACCACACATATTCATTCGAAATCTTATGTACCACTTTAAAGGGTTTCTTTTGAATTGCACCATCACGTGACCATCTTATATATTTCCAACGGAACAATTTTATATTGGGCGGTACGACATTTTGACCACACAGGATAAAATGCGTTAACGACGTAAGTATAAGACATTTAACCGATATACCAAACCGCAACAGGCTGATAAATAATATGATGTTAGAGTATGAAATAAATTATGTAACATACATATATTTTGTTTATTGGTCTCAGTTTCCATCTTATTGTCAGTTCATCTTATTTTAGCATATTTAACAAATAAAATGTGGCCTTGAGGGCAATGCACAAGTTTACGGATTAGTTGGTCAGACTGAGGAAGGTATATGGCCCTTAGCGCAGTTCAGTGTGTGAAATATCTCAAACCCTAGTCGCATTTTTCGATGCAACAAAAATCATGCTCTTCTTTTAATACATGTATTCCATTCTTGTTAATCAAATTAAATGTGTAATGTTACGAGGCAAAAAACCCGGACTTCACAAATTGCACAAACTGTATATTAAATAAAATTTATAATAAAATAAAGACAAATCATGACTTTTGGTCAACATGTAATAAATTTATATGAAACATACCAATAAATTCAGTAATATGAATCATTTTACAACAAAATAAAGTATTATAGTTCATTTGCATAAGCCATTCTATATTTAATATGACGTAATCGGGTTCATATAAGAATTATGGACTGGGAAGGCGGTCTGTATGCAGTTTATGGACTGGATGACATTAAATTAAATATAGAAGGGCTTTGCAAATGAGGTACATGTATAATATTTGCAAATAATTTTATTTTAGTCATATTTTGTATAGTCTCTGCAAAGTCATAATGGCGGAGCACAGTCTCGGAAAATCTGACAATAATGTAAACTTATGAAATGCTGCTTGAAGAAAATGTTGATGAGGTTCTTTTAATTTGATTTGGAATGAACATTTATATCATTCGTTATGATGATTTTCTGACATGTTATATGGCCCTATATAAACGGTTACGCTGAAAACAACCGTTTATATACGACCATGTATACGACCATATAACCTGTCAGAAATATGTATAACGTTTTTATAATACAGTAAGCACCTTTTTAGAAAAAGAAAGTGAGATTTCTTCATAAATTGACAGCAGTCCGTATATTATATAAACCTGCAGTATTGTAAGATGAATTGTAAAATTTTGTTCCAGAACATTTCATTATCTGCTATATAAATAAATGCAATATCTGATCATGTATCTCACACCAACAACTTCCTTGAATAACTTGTACTAGTATGTGGTTTGTTGTTGTGTCTAATACTAAAATACTATCAACGTAATTATTCTTTGTATTACAGACAGTACATGATAGACCAATTCACTTTAATATATCTATGTGATTTAGTCAATACTGTGCTACTTTTTTCAGATGGTCTTGAAGTCATTCACTATGAGCCGAATGCTTCTTGTATAGCTACAAAAGATAAAGAGAGCTACGATTGTTGTATTGAGTCAAAAGTCCTTGGAAGAAATTTGTGGATGAACTTTACCCTAGACCCGTGCAATTACCGAATGGAGATGAATCTGGAAAATATACAACAACAATATGCTTTGCTTGGTTATGAATGGGGTATGAAAAATGGATAATTTTCTATTTCATCCAAAGGAATAATGAGAGTTGTATCTAGTCTGAAAAAAAATTACCATTGATAAAGATGTAAAGTTATAAAAATATGACTGTAGTCAGTATCTGTTCGTATATCCACCAGAATCAAAGCAATGTACCAAAGTTGAAAGTACGCTTGTGAATTTCCGATTATGCAGATGGCGGCTCATGTGTATAATCGATCAAACTTACTTTATCATATTGGTCTTAAATTGTTTTACTCTGTTTCCTTACATACATGTATAATTACATACATGAATAAGTCAGTACGCAGAGGCGGATTTTGTTAAAGAACTCTCCGGATATGTTTGTGAGTATGTGAAACCAGCGTAAACATCTGTATCCACTATTAAATCTTAACACCTGTTAATAAATGTGTTGAAATATAGACTGATTTCTCTAACCAGCTTCATTTAGCAGCTTACAAGCAATAGACATTCATGTAAAATATTGAAAATGTTATATTGAACATATTTTTTTTTCAGGAACATTGCATTTATTGTCGACTAAAGGTATCTGGCGCACAGAGTGAGTGTCATATTTCCTATGTAATTGTATTCATGAGAAATAAATGTTTTATTTCCATATTAATTTGTGTTTGAAAAAAGAAATTTCATGGGCGCTATTTTCTTGAAAGCAAAACCGATTGCAAAGGTTGATAAAAAGTTGTGAATCACTATATTTGAATTATTAAATGATATGTGCTCGATTTATTTTGAAGTTTTTAAGATCCGATATTTTTTATAAATGTATTGCGTTTAAATGTATGGTTACTGCGCGGGCTAAGTTTTACATGCTTATCAATTTGTTATATATTTAAATTTGAAAAACTTATCTTAATTTGTTAACCAAGTCTGAAAAGATATTTTGCTCACTAATTCTCTAATTGACTAATTGATTGCAATTTAATTATAGGTATATGGTGACAAACGTGCAGTCACAGCGCGAGTTTGACCTAGATATAACGCTTCATCAATGCTATGAGACAACGTGTAAACACTCACCGTTCATCGTTGCTAAAGACATCCGTATACCTTATCCCACGTGCGTAAACGTCACCAAGAATGATACACGTCAACCATTTTATGGTATAACCTTAAGTTTCCTAAATTATACCTGATGTTAAGTACGAAGGATTATGCAGTAATTTACAGATTATTCTTTTATTTTAGAGTTTCTTGCATCGTTTTTGTCATACATGTAGTTAAAAATACGACCCCATGTGAGCGGTGATTCCAAAAATACTGTGCATTACTGTAGCTATCATATCAATTATACTAAATTAAATATCTTAAGCGTTCCAAAATTACAGCAACTCAAGTATGATGTCATTAAGATACTGACAAACAAAATTACGTCATGCAAGCAACTTTATTGATGTCAGATGGGTGTTTCATTTAAACAATTTTGTTGCTTATGTATGCAAAAAACAAAGCTTTATTAAAGGCCATTTTTCAAAGTGACGGAAGCTCACATTATTATTTCTAACGTATGTAAAATACAATTTATTTTACAGGAATAACTCATGACTTCTGGAAACAGCCGATATGCACAGCTGAAAACTTAACCGCATCTACAAGTAGTACGCATGCTCATGCTATTTATTATCTTAAAATTGTAACATATATCATTATAATTAATATCTGACAAACACTAAAGGAAGTTGATATCATATAACTAATAAATAAATCTTTTAAACATTTAAACCAGATATTTATAGTGTATGTCAAGTTAAAAGGACAGTTACGAAGTGAGTACTAGTAATTTAAAAACTAAAATAATTATATCAATAAATGAACAAGAATCATTTTCATATGACCTGTTGTCCAAGTCCTTTGGATAACGGGATATATATTAGCATATCAATTTATTTACACATTCATACATTTGATTAATATAGAATAGTTATATAGGACAATTCCTTTTGATTGATGAATGTTTTGCTGTTATAAAACCTTTACTTATGTTATTTTAGGTAAGTAAATAACATTATACTATTTTCTTTCAGCATGTAGTCCTTTACCAGGCGAGCTTCAGAACATTTGTGCTTGGTCCCTAGATTGCTCAGGAATTCAGTGCTGTACGGAATTTTATTTCAGTGAGGGTAAACGAAATGTTATGCTAGAATTTCAACGTGTTTGTGCCGATGACAAGTTTCAATATGGAATTGAAAACAAGAAATGGATTAGACCTATTACAGAACTAAGCAGTAAGTGTTTATTGTAACTGTTTATCAATATAATGATAACTCAATAAAATTTGCATTATAAATCAGTTGTTTGAAAATATACATGACCTGTTTTTACAACAGAAAAGTCAAGTCAATTTTTCTTAAACCACGTGTTTTATGTACCGTTTGCACAGGTCCTATAAACGAGGATAAAAATTGTTTGAAAATATACATGACCTGTTTTCTTATGAAGACAATCAAGTCAATTATTCTTAAACCACGTGTTTATGTACCATTTGTACAGGTCCTATACACGAGGATATAGCTGATGCAATCTTCATTGACATGAATGTAACCAATACAGCATCCGTAAGCTACGACGTATCAGTTACCATAACAGTATGTACAGGCACTCAAAATTCATACGACTGTCAGCTCAACTTCCGAATGGCGCAGAAATTAACATGCGCAGCTGCTGGCAGACGACGACGACGTCAAGCCGTCCAAGATGTTGTTACGTTAGTATTCTACTTATGTCATTTATCCTTTGCTGTTACTTGTTCTCCATAAGAATGATAATGTTTATATACACAAACAGTTTATGTTTTATATTATGTCATTAACTTACAGCTAAAAGAGACATTTTGACGCTACGCTTAATTGTCGCAATATTGTGCGTAATGTCCTAAATGTTTCTTATTTGATACATTCAATGTAATAATTTGATCAACGCAAGGCAATTCACCATTTAGAATTTATTGATTTTAAACAAAACATGCGGGACAATAGTCCTAAGCTTCACAATTCATTCCCCTCAAAAATATAACACGAGTATAAGCAAGTTGGGTTTCGCAGAAAACTGTGAAATAAGTGAATTCATTCTATTTGACAGTCTTGGAATGGACATAAAAGAAGCAGTGACTATTTTATTGAGCCAAGGGACATCGCAAGAAGATATACAGCAATTCATTAACGATGCTATCAAATACCAGGTATAAATGAAAATACTGTGCTCATCTATTTTCTATTGTTAACATTTATTTTTATTTTACTTACTAACTAATTAACTAGCTGTCATGTCAGAAGGTACAATTTTGATCCCCTTGTCTTAGAAAAAATAGAATAAGAAATTGGCTTGGTTTATCAATTATTTTTCATTAGAGAAGCTGCATGATTATGATACATAAGGTAGATTCTTCTTTAACTTCAAGAATGACCAAAAAGCTCAAGTATGGGAAGGCGAAGAATTAAGTGACTCAGATGCTAGCACGGGCTATGCAGCTACTGTAAAGGCATTAGGAGAGCATAACCCGCAAAACTTGAAACACAGAAAATCAGAAGGCTATGTCAAAGTAGATATTAAGGGCGGTAAGAAAGCATTTTTTCATTAATAAAAGTTTTCTTTGAAATAGTTTTAGTTTTGTGTTATATCTGACATTTATTGTAGTTCATAGCACAATCAATTATTAAATGTATAAAGAAAATATCATCCTTACTTTAGAAATTAAGAAAATATTCTTATTATGCTTATTCTTAAAGTATAACTTAACATCAAGTGTCATTCAAAATATGATTACAGATAGTTGCTTAATCCTATGTCCTATGAAATGTAAAAAGGGCTAAATTTAATGAGATTATAAGTATACTATTAAATCTAAGTTCAAGACTGAAGTAATCAAGTAAAATATATTGGTGGAAATATAAAATGTGTAACTGTAGCTAAATTACATTAACACCAGTCTGGTCATTCCCTAATTATAGCACCAGACGAAGAAGCTACATGTATTTCTTATATTTGTTTATATGATGTAGAAGAGTTTAAAGGAGTTATCTCATGTATTACGTATAATTATATTATGTGGGATGTAATATATTATGTGGGATGTAACAGTCTACCTATATATACATTTGTGAAAAGAAAATTAATGTTACAAAGTTGTGTTTTTCTTTGTTCATAAACAGCCGATAAAATTGTGGATATGATCGGAAAAGTAAATGACATCGTTACCCGTGCTGATCAGTTGTTTGTTGTCGGAAAGGGACTTTCAAAGAAAGGGACGGACCTACTCGGAGCAGAGCTTGCAAATATGACTATCGGTGATTTAGAAGCAATGCTCGAAACCAATAAAGTCGATCCAACGATGATTGGGAAACTAGTCCATGATTTTATAGATCTTGCTAAAGCCTTGGTAAGATTGCAAAATGGCTTTTAAAATAGATATTTTTTATCAACTTTTACCAATTTCCATTAAGAGCATATATGTTTTTTGTTTCATCAAATCGCCAATAAATTAACGTCAAAATAAATTACATTTCAATAAAAGTAGACTAGTCGCGATCGTCTTTATTACAAATTAAAATCAAGATATTGGTTTAGTTAGTTTAAACATATTGCTTTAAGCTCGATCGCGAAAGTTTTTTTCGCAACTAGTACTGATGTCATGTGAAGAAACATTATCGTGATCCGAGTAGGGCTCGAGCCCATGATCTCTGGGTTGAGAGGCAGACGCCTTACAATTAAGCACTAGGTGTCTGCCCTTCTTCAAATCCGTTGCTATAGTAACCACATTACATGAAATACTATGTTCTCCTTATTTATTGACAAATATTTTCTATGAAACTGTTATGAGTTTTCTATGACGTTTGTCCATTTTAGTATTCGGAAGTTGTAGAAAAGATATTTTCTGGAGGCCTTGGCAATCCTTTCAAATCATTTGACATCTCATTGACTGGACAATTTGCTATACCGAGGAAGAATATAAATTTCTTTGAATTCGATCAAATATTTTACATTGGAGGTTTCATATCGGTGACATTTTGTAAGCATATGTTTTGCATAATTAACAAACTAAAATAAAAGTTGAATATAATATTAATTCAACGGATATGAAAATATTTTAAAAAATACGAAATAGAATGGTACGATATATGAGTACAATTCTTCTAAACGACGATATCAACCACGATGTATATTTTGCAATATCAGTAAAACAAATCTTATACTAACCTATTTTGCTATGCTAATAATGCATGTAATATAACAAAATAAAATCTTTCTACTTGATAAATGGTATATAAGTTTCAGTCTCATACTTTGAAGAAATTGTCATTATATTAATAAATTGAAGCATTTGGGGCTGGAGGCTATTACGGATTGAGTCTTGGATGGGAAGGAAAACTTATTGCTCAAACAGCCGGAGCAACTGTCGTACCTTATGGAGGCTTGACCTGTTGGGGAGAAGTTGGTGTAGGTTTCTTACTCTATGGCAAGCTTCGGCTGGAAGGAGATATCATGGACCTTAGGTTTCCTACTCGTGCTGAAATTGGATTTTCAAAATTCCCATTGGATGTCACGTGAGTAATAATCGAGATGTTCCATATCTATTTGGTTTTATCTAACCTATATAACTGTTTTGTATTCTTATAATGTGTATCATAATATCCATCAATACATTTTTGCATATAACACCATGTCGAAAAACGCCGTATTTATATGTACGAAATCTTTATTATCGATTGAAAATAATATGAATGTGCAAATGCACTGAAGTTTACATTTTCCGTCGTTGAAGGGCATCATTTAAACATTTATAAGGGTGTATTTAAACTATTAAGTATATTAATTGTGTTTTTCTAATCAAAACTTGATCTTATTTGTTGTAGATTGAAAATGGATTTGGAACTTACTCCAGTTAGACTTCGTTTAATTGGTCTAGTAACGCTTGAAGTGAATCTGTTATTTGCGAAAATTAAAAAGACGTTGTTCAGTAAAAATATTTGGGAATATTCAACCGCAACTATAAGAAAGAATATGATCGACGTTTCAACGAAGGAACCAGATGAATCACCACCACAGTTTGCACCTGTAGTAAACAAGAAAGGGGTAAGTATAGCATGTCACATACATTGTCATTTATATATTTAAGCATGGATTAGATATTCTTTGAATTTCTGTAAGGTTTGTAATACACGGCATGTAAAACTGTTGGCCCTTTGATGATTTTGAATCGCAAATGATCAATTTCTAGCAACACTGCAAGGAAATTATATCTAAAAGTAATAACTGTTACTATCAATATGATATGGATATTGGTAAAATGATATCTACCGAATTCACCATTTCCTGATATTTCATTTTTACTGATCTAATTATCTTTAAAACTTCTTTTTCTCGTAGAATCGCGGGAAAAGGTCAACCTCTACGTGTGACATAAGCCAGATAAAGAACAGAGATTACACCGAGCCAGCATTTGAGATATCTGTATCAGCAGCAGATGACAGAAGTAACGTTAAGTTTTTCCTAGACGTAGGAACATTCCCTGCCGGAAGTAACGTTGTAAACAACCGTCAGCTTGGTGGATCATCAACTGTCTTAGCAACAGTAAGGCTTCTTAACCTTTCTTATTCATTTTAAACTCGGAGAATGTAATTAGAGCTTATATGCAAGTTCACTTAACACCATGAAACGACATTAACATGAATCAATAATTAAATTCTAAAATATGCATTTACAAAATAATAGCAAAATCGTTTAACGTCTCCTAAAGGTATATTGACATCCGTTTGGTCTAACTGGAATTATTTTGTATATTCATTTTTTATGTAGATATCCAAGATCACAACAAATCACAGTACAGAGAATGTATAGTTTTAACAATTTGATAATAAGAGAATAACTAATTTTATATCAATTTGATTCTCATAACAGGCGGCAGACGAATATCCGTCCGGAGAGCCATTGTATTACACGGTTAATGCTGAAAATAGTGCTGGCACTAGAGCAGGAGTAACATGCATGCTTACAACTTACGATACTACAGAGCCTACCGCGAGAATTTCACCAGCATTCCTGTCAACGAGCAATCCGAATGTAATTAAGGCATCAGTGTTAGTTCACGACGACTCCCTTATCACTGAAGCGTACACAGGTGTCGGATACGGTAAAGGGAGTTACGGGGATCAGATAATTCCGTGGACACAGCGAAATCTTCACGAACGACCACATGTCCCTTCAGGTGCGTGACGTAACCTACAATTGTAGTAAATACCGATTTATTAAAATACAGCATTTACAATTTGTTAGGTAAACATTCTCTATACAAGTGACTGAAAAACAGTATTTTGTGTAACACTAGACACTTGAGTTAACATTTTATAATATGTTAATACAAATCTGATGTTGCTGGTATAAAACGTGGTTTTAGCTTCTCAATTTGCAAGAAACGCTCATTTTGTATCAAAACGAAATGTTGATTTATTTATAGGTGGTGATCCTTTAAAACAGTTTTCCGACTTAGAAGATGGAAAATTTGTATCACCTGCTATCTCAACAAAACATAAAGTATCGACAGCAACTGCTTGTGCACAATCCTGTCTAGCACTTGGACACTGTGTTAGTTTCAATTATGATTATGGCCCTAGTGGAACATGTGAATTGCTTCGGTCAGTCAGACAATTTGATGACACTCTGGCACAGGTAAAGACATTAAATTTCGTAGCAAATAAATAGATATGTTTAATCATATTGCTTATTGTCATATGTCATGCTCATTTGTTACTAAACATTCTCGGAGAGTCCTTAAAATGTTTGTATAACTTATTCAAATATTCAATAAATACTAGTTTTTATCATTACAAAATCATGCTATGTAGTATCATTTGCCTCATTACTAAAATAGGTAAAACAAATGCATCAATAATCAGCTGCACTTATATTTCGTTATTTAACATATTTTGTTTTTGCAGTCCGGTCTCTTCTGTCATTTTGAACGGCTGGCAAGTGGTCACACTGTCGAGGTCAACAGTTTTAACCTTGATATGCGACACAATCGATTACATTATGTGAACATTGACCTCAAGAACGTTCTAGGCTACAGGTCAATTATTCCAAGTGCTGGAATACTGACAGACTACACATGCCCAGAACCTGGTATGATATACTTATTCAGAACATACACTTTACTTAAAAATATCGAGATATATTTCTTTACTTCAACTGATAATAGCATTGTACTAAGTTTAGATGAATCGTATATGTATGTGCCTAAAGTATTCCAGTTTCATTTTATCGAAATATCCCGGAGAGTAATCATCTAGTCTTGCCACCACAGTTTATTGAAACTTGTTTATGTGATTTTATAGGGCCTATCGTAAATTCTTCGAAAGATGCCTTGACCATAGATGATTGCCTTTCACTGATACCCCCAGACCGCCCAGATCTTAATCGATACTGTATTGGTATATATTCCAAGAGGCTAAATCACAGGTATTGTATATACTATTAAACATTAAATATCTCAATCATCCATTGAATAATATACAATGTATGATTTCAATTCATCATTAAAAACTAAATATAATATCTACCCTTAACTGTATTGTTATACAAAGACTGACTTATAACCCGTATTAAAAGGCTTCGTTATTAGCATTTAACACGTTTCCACTTTTCCAGGACCATTATTGACGGAGAGGGCTCAAGAACGGTTTTTAATGGCGACAAACCGGTGCTTGATCTGAAATATACCAGAAGTAATAATTACATCGCTGGTAAGTAATATTATGATACTTTAATATTAGATATTCCGGAAAAATAATGTCCATTGAATGCAAAAAATTCAAGTAACTAATACTTTACATTGAAGATAATTTATCGTTTAAGCAGAAATTATCTTCGTATTAACTCATTCCTTTTTTTACATGCTGCAATGTGATAAAGCAAATGCAATACCCATGTCTTACATTATTTTACGGTGATGTAAATAGTAACATTTTGTGAACTATTTTTAAAAGAATGTTTTTGTACTTATTATTAAGTATTGTTCTTAAATATCTTTTAAGAACATTTTGTGTGCTATATCAATACTTTCTATCATAAGTTCAAATCGGTGCATTTTATCTTAATATTGGTTAAATAGATTTTGTATTGCACTTTATATATAACTTTAAATTTGTCTTTTGTATAATAGGCAACTGGGACGGTATAACAGATGACGAAACTGGAATACGAGCATATGCACTTTCAGTTGGAAGACACATTTGTGAAGATTCTATCCATCCTCATCACGACCCACATAAACATTTAATGCACGAATCACAATGGACAAACATGGCGATAATGACGGCAACCGCCGATTATAATCCGTTCCCACTACCATGTATGTGTATTATATTACATACACTTACATGAGTTATAATGACGAAAATGATGATTTGACAACGTATGATAATACTTACGCAATGCTTTTAACTAGTGAATAAAAGCATACAAATTGTAAATACCATTGAACTTCTTATATAATTTTTTTTCCAGAGCTTGCCTGCGTCAAATTGTACAAGTATTTATAATTCTATTTATCTTTTCACGTGTAGAATTATCAAGTTTACATACACGCTGTAAAAAAACGATTTTTATTCTGAGTTCGAAATTGAAAAATGCAAACAATCTCTTAGAATATGTTGTTTGTTACTTTTTAGCTGGGAAGTACTACGTTACTGTCAGGGCGATTAATAAGGTTGAATATGGTGGACCACTTGCGACAACAATCTGCCATACCGTACCGTATATAATTGATATAACAAATCCATTCGTATACGAAATCTTTGACATCAAGTATGACGAATTGCAGTATGTTATATCAGCTGAACATAACTCAACGTAAGTCTTGCTTGTATATATGTTTTTATTTGAGAAAACGTAAAACTAAAAAAAAAACAAAAAAACAAAGTTTTACGTAAACCTAGCCATTTTAAGAAGTATTAAAATAATTATTGATTTTGAAAAGTATTTGTTTTATAATATATGTTTCATTAAAACATAGAAGAAACACTAAATTGTTATATAAGACCAAAATTGGATGGATCTTATTTAAAGGAAATACCGTGTATCCCCATTTTAAAAAGTTGTTAAACAATCTTAGTATAAATTCTTTGTTATTTCATATAGAATTTCATTTCACACCTTTGAAAATGTAGCCAATAAACTCTCAGCATTTGAACTTGATTTTCACTATAACTTATTATCGATTCACAAAAATGTATTATCAAATCCATATTGTACTCGAAAGTAACTGCATGTTTAGTATTATACAAAACAGTATTGATTTTAAAGAATGGTTTTCGTCTTTCGATGTGAAATAAAGAGTCCATTGCACAATGTTGAATACCATACTGATTCTATTGACCTCGTACATAGCTGAAGTCAGTATTGTACTCAACAAATTGAATGTAAATCACCTCATAATATTAGCGGCGTTCAAGAGAAAAAATAAGGTTCGCCACAGGCTCGTTGTATAACTTTTGTAGACTTCTTTATTGTAAGTTTACAAGAAATGACAACTCGTGTAAGATCCTAATATTGCCGAGTGTGCACACAAGTTTATGGTTTTCAAGTGTGCGTGATATACAAATGAAATCTTACATATTACATTTACTTTACATTGTCATGTGTACTGCAGGGACTTTGAATCTGGTATAGACACAATCGAGCTCTGTATTGGAGACAATCCGAGAAATTGTGAGCTATTGAAATGGACAAGAAGACCAAAGTCGCAATACATTAATTATACACATCATATACCTGACGGTATCCCAGCTTGGATTCGTTTACGTGTGACAAATAACGGTATGCGTTATATACATTTATCTATCACATCTTTTTTAAAAATAATATCATGTTGTATAACGAATTTGCAAACACGCGTAAAAATTAAAATATTATGTCAACTGCTGGACTATATTAAGGAACATTATGTTCAAATGATTCTCTTAAATTTACTTCCGGAAATACATTCTTATATTTTTACGTATACAACCATATAGAAAAATTGAAAGAATTTTTGTAAAAGGACCACCCTATTCCACCAGTTTTATTCCTATTCGGTTATGTTAATACGGCAGGTAAATTGTCTATATTAATCATTTTCACAATCAGTTTTTAAAATCTTGGTTTGGCAAGCAAATCAATCGACTAAGATAAGCTATATTATACGTTTATTTGTGTTTATCTGGTATTCTGATTTCTAAGTACATTTCGTGTAAAATTGTAAAATTGTAAAATATACAACTGGGAAACACCCTTTTTGCTACTATCTTTGTAAACTCTATCATACATTTGTATTCGTGTAGTTAGCGAAACCTTTCAATAGTGTGTACAATCATTAACTCATATAAAAACAAATATAAAAATGTTTGGAATATAAGACAATACAATAATGAAATGCCTATATTTTGTTTGATAAATACATTTACAATTCCAGTTGAGTTACACTCTGTCGGAAGAGCTGATCAAGCTATCATTGTCGACGCTAGTCCGCCAATAAATGGAACTGTTTTCGATGGTCCATTGTTTAAAGAAGATTTACAATATACAAAGTTTTCCAAAAAGGTGGGTCACTAAAGTTTAAAATTGTACACACAATATACTAACATTTAAAGAAAGATTATCGATAATGTGTAAATAAAACAGGAGAAACAAAACAGGGAGGCAATTTCCATCTACTATTCTTCTCAGTTAAATAATTAAATTTAGTCATAAAATTAAATTATTCGTTGAATAAATCCTTGACATTTTTGCTTACAGATCTGTTTGAACTGGTATGGTTTTTACGACCCCGAGTCCGGAATTTCCTCTTATGAAATTGGAGTAGGGACATCACCAGGATCGACCGATGTAGCTGAGTTGAAAACTCTAAAACAGAACGAACACTCGTATTGTGTAGACTTGGATGAGAATTCTACACTGATCCATGATCATGTTTATTATCCAATTGTATGGGCGAATAATGGAGCCATTAACCAAAAGAACATTTCAGGGATATCAAATGGAGGTATATTAAATTAAAAATTTAATTTTGGGGTTTTTGTTTTTTGATACAGTCAATTATAAATGATACACGGGATTTTTGTATTAAAAATAAGAAATTTTGAACATTTTTTTTTTTTATAAACCCATTTTCCCTTAAAAACCTTTAACCCCGAACTTCTCATATGGAAAAGAAGAAACCGATAGCAACCTACAAAACACAATAAACAAAATCCCTTTTATCATTGCAATAAAAGGGCTTTCATTACTATTAAAGAAAACATTTAATGATAAAGTGGGATTTTAAAAAATTACTCACATTTTGTTTTTCTCTTTTATCAAATAGATATGATGAAACTTTTGTACATATTCCAAGGAATTAAAAATAAGTCTGTGTTTGTAAGCAAACATGCACATACATGCACATGTACTTAGTTGTTTAAAGTAAATAAAAGAATAATATTAGTGCTTCTATGAAAGAAAACTAAATTTTTAAGTCTTAATGAAGGTTATTTTATAATTCATATCAGTCATAGAATCGGCCTTTATTGACATTACTATAAGGTAAACACAATAAATTTATTTCAGTACGCGTTGACTTGACAAAACCTATTGCTGGAAAAGCCGTTGATGGAACGCTAAACAATTTGACGGATGTGGAGTTTAGCTCATCCAAGTCGACAGTGCAAGTACAGTGGGATAATTTTTATGATAGAGAATCAGGTATTCGAGAATATGACATACTGGTTTCAGAAAAAGGAAACAATAGAATTTTTTTTAATATAAATTTTTTTTTGTAACAACTAAGGGAATTCTTGTTTTAAGTAAATACTATATGCTATGTCACCCAACTCTTTTGTTTTCCCTTTAAAGACTAGCCAAACAGCCCTAAAATTGCTTTTTTCCATCTTTTATGTCGTCTCATGGGTTTAAAATCATTTCTTTTAATATTACTAAAAAAAAGTCATATTTTGCAAAAAAATATATGTTTCCAAAAATCATTACTATTATCCATTGGGATGGAAGGGTGGACAAAAATCAAAAATTGGTTTGAAAATTTTGGAAAAACATCGAAAACGCTGATGGCGAAACTTTCATCTGAACCACAAAGATGAAATAAGGAGTACTGTTAAAGCAACGAATGGCGCTTTGAATGACGTCGAGATTGAAACCAGCGGATTTATTGTTGATCTTACTTCGCCGTTACTAGAACATCTTAATGACGGGTCAATCAATGGCAAAGATTTGGAATTTCAGGTAATACGCATTGTTATTTGAGATCTAAAATGTAGATTTTTAATTGGTACTATTTTGACTTATTTTTTTGTAATAATTATTTCAGTATTTAATGAAAAATTTTTTGTGTTTTTAAGGTTTACGACCGAACTATGTGAATTACCCTTTAAAAAACCCTGAATCGGAATAAAAAGTTAAATACCACTGCAGAACAAAGCATGGAACGAGAGGGAGATTATCCCGGTTTGTATAAAATTACGAATGTGTTAATATTGTTACCCCCATAACATAAAAAATTTTTTTCATTGGGGACTTTAAATTTTGAATGCCACAAATGAAACGTACAATTTTAAAATAAATAAACACACCATAAAATACTTTTTCAAAGCATTTACATTTAAAAAGAGAGGAAATCCATACAAAAAAAA